GGCCCTCGCCTCTGCATACCCAAGGACGACGGACTCCGTTCACAACTCTTGCATGACGCTCACGACGCTCCTATATCAGGCCACTTGGGATTCGATAAAACGTACAGTAGCATGCGACGAACATATTTTTGGCCACGCATGGCGAGGGATATAAAAAAATACATTGCTTCCTGTGAGCAATGCCAGCGTAACAAGCCTTCACTAAAGCCTCCTGCAGGGCTTTTCCAACCTTTGGCAATTCCAAGCCAACGATGGGATACTGTAACAATGGACTTCATTGTCAAGCTTCCGAAGACAGCCAGAGGTTTTGACGCGATTACGGTCTTTGTGGACAAACTGTCCAAGCAAGTTCATTTCTGCGCTAGCCGAACTACCGACACTGCCTCTGATGTTGCACGACTCTTTTTCGACAATGTTTTTAGACTGCACGGCATGCCTCGGACAATTGTGTCAGACAGAGATTCACGTTTCACCGGCAAGTTCTGGACAACGTTGATGAAGCTCATGGGCACCAAACTTAACATGTCTACTGCCTTCCATCCACAATCAGACGGACAAACAGAGCGCGCCAACAGAACATTAGAAGAAATGCTCCGCTCTTACATATCGTACAAGCAAAACGACTGGGATCTTTTACTGCCTATGATGGAGTTCGCATACAACAACTCTGTCAATCCTACGACAGGCTTCTCCCCATTCTTTCTGAACTATGGTCACCATCCACTAGTCCCTGGATCTCTTTTAAAGCCACCTGATACCAATGTTCCGGCTGTCAGTGATTTTGTTCAAACCCAGTCGATGAATTTGGCGCTAGCTCAGGATGCCATCATCGAAGCGCAGAATAGGCAAAAGGCCCAAGCGGACAAAACTCGCAGGCCTGCTACGTTTGCTGTGGGTGACATGGTGCTCTTAAGCTCGGAAAACATCTCTGTCGCGGGACATGGCCGTCGCAGAAACTGGAACCTGAGTACATAGGCCCTTACAAGATCATTTCGAAGGTCAATGAAAATGCCTACAAGCTGGAACTACCGCCTGACATGCATCAGCATCCAGTCTTTAATGCCGATCTGCTTCGCCCCTATATTGAGTCACCTCGTGAATTCGGCGACCGCTTACCACCACGCCCTGCCCCCGAGCTTGTAGATGGAGAAGAGGAGTATGAAGTCGACAAAATCATTGACTTCAAAATGTTTGGCAAAACTCCTAAGTGGCTCGTTCTTTGGAAAGGCTATCCATTAGATGAAGCCACTTGGGAAACAAAATCTTCGCTCGCAAACGCTAAAGAGGCGCTTGCCGTCTTTGAGGCTTCAAGAAAAACAAGATAATAGGTTTCTTCATGACGGGAAGGATGCAAGCGAAATCACTATAATAATTTTGTGCAACATAGTATTTCGCCCATATTTCTAGAGCATTCCTTGCAACAGGATATTAACTAGTATAAATAGGTCTACTTTTCTATCTAGTTCTGTAGCATAGTTCCCCCTGAATAAAGATACCTTTATTGCACCCTTAGATCCCCCTAGAACACTACCTTGATTTTTGCACTCAAGGAGTTAAGAGTGACAGCAAAGAGGCGTGTACGTAAACTAGCTTTACGTCGGCGACACATAAAAGCTTGTTTGCATTTTATCAATAAGTACAGTGGCTTCCAAATTTGTCCAAATGTTCCACGCTCATGTTTTCCGTCTTGATTAGAATAATAGCGATGGTTGCTTGCACTTTTATTTTTATCAGAGTAAACAAGTATGCCAATGATACGTGGACTGGTTCAGTTTAAAATATCTCTAGTCTCATTCACCATGGTTTTTCATTGACAAAAGTATTTAATCTCATTTGGACAATTATATAACCATCACTTATTTTACGCACCTTTGCTGAATTTTTTTCAAATTATCTCCCACACACTTGGGTAGATACTCTTCACCTACACTCTTCTAGGAGCCTACGTTACTCTTTCTAAACATTCCAAAGATGAAGCCAATCAAAGCTTCCGTTGTTGAGGATGCTCTCCATTTACTCGAGCAGCACAAGTCCATCCGTCAGGTTGCCACAGAAGTAGGCATATCCAAGTCCTCAGTCCATAGTATCTCCAAGACATTAGGGCGGAAGTTCGATTACCGGAATGCATATTATATTCGATTGTTGCTTCACCGTGGTGTAGTCTCATCAGCTGTCGATGCTACCAGACTCTATAACGATGAGGACGAAGATCCGGTGTCAGCTAATACGGTGCGTCGGGCGCTGAGAGATATAGGCATGGAAGCTAAAAAAGCCGTCAAGAAGCCTAGGCTAACAAAACGTCAAAAGAAAGCTCGACTGGACTTTGCTCTCCAGCACAAAAACAGGACCAAAGCTGGTTGGAAGCGAGTAATTTGGTCCGATGAGTCCAAAATTTGTAGGATATCTTCTGATGGCATGCGCTATGTTTGGGTGAAAACAAATAATGAACCAAAGGTGAAGGCGGCCGATATTGACCCAAAGTTAGTTTCGCTCACAGTCAAATATGGTGGTGGTTCGATCATGGTTTGGGGCTGCATGACGTGGGATGGGCCGGGCTACTTGGCCAAGGTCGACTCCACGCTGGACTTCGAGCTGTATATTCGTATCCTCCAGGACGAGCTATTGAATACTGTGGATTGGTACAACATTGATCCAGAACAATTTATCTTCCAACAAGACAACGATTCAAAGCATACGGCTAAGAGAGTCACAACCTACCTTGCCTCTATTGGATTGACCAATTCACCAGACCTAAACCCTATTGAGCATTTGTGGGATCATTTAAAAAAAAAAAATTCGCGAACATGGGACCATTCCAGAAGGCATGCTGGAACTCTGGGAAAGAGTGAGCCAGATATGGGAGGAGGAGACACCGAAGGAGGTCTGCCGCAATCTGATAAGAAGTATGCCTGAGCGGATGTTAGCAGTCATAAGGGCGAAAGGGGGCAATACGAGGTTTTGATAGGTGAAAAAAAACGATGGTTAAAAAATTGTCCAAATGAGAGGAAAATTTCAAAGTAGTGAAAAGCTATCAGAAACAAGCAGGAGCGCTAATAGGTTTTGAGCAAATAAAGTATGTCTTCCAGGTTGCTCCCATCTAGGATCCAAGGGCACAAGCGCTGCTCACTGTTGAACACTTATAGTTTTCCTTTGGAAGAATGGAACACTTGGACAATATTGGAAGCCACTGTATCAAAGAAGCTTCATGATACATGCTTTTTTTTTTTTTTTTTTTTTTTTTTTGTTTCATCGTTTATTTTTGTTTCTCTTTTGTTTATTTTTGTTTCATCGTATCCCACCAGTCACTTCGCCTTTTCAAAGTCACCTTTTTTGGCTGTCACACAATTTTTTGTAGTATTTTAATATAAGAGATGGCTATCTGCTGAAGTATTGGCTTCCGAGACAGGAGGGCCCGGCGGTGCATAATTTTCGATTAATTTTTGGCATTCTTTACACGTCTTGCAGTGTCGCAATACAGATGTACGGGGGGAAAACCTTTTTTTACAGGGAGTGATAAAGGCCATTTCTGACGTGGGATCACGATGAATGAGAAAAGGTTAATTTGATCTCAATAGGGGTGCTTGAATGATAGCGATTTAAATGATCATGATATTCCCGGAGTAATTTTTCGCCGGATTTTTTCTTTTTTTCCACGAGTCCTTTGGCACAAATGTCGGATTCACTCATTAGCGAGTTTTCGCAACCAAATTTACATCAAGGATTTACATCAGCTGAGAATGAACTTAAATGGGCTTGATGTGTTTTCGAAAAAATGGCCATTTTCATTTTCGCCATTAATAATACACAGAACATTTTTCCATGTATTTCTAACACTGTGACTGATTTTTAAATAAATACTTCGCCCTGTAAAATAAAAAAATCGCCAACATGTCAAACGTCCACTTTGCAACCATTCTCTCAAACCTCGCCAACCTCCAGCAGTTCCTTGACGAAGACGAGAATGACAATTACGAGGGCATTGTCGACTTTCAGGTACCTCGGCTCCATAATAATCGTATCGATTTGGATGCTCTTTCTGATGCAGATTTTCGTATGATATTCAGATTTTCCAAAGGACAAATGCGAGAAATAATTACTCACCTTCGGTTTCCTGAGTACTTTCAAACTATTCAACGCGACATTGTTGATGCTTTTGAAGGGTTAGCTATCTTGCTGTATCGACTTGCATATCCTTGTCGACTCTACACCGCAATGCAAGTCTTCGGTCGCTCTATTCCGGCCCTTAGTAGAATATTTAACCTTGTTGTTCGGTTTGTAACCATCCGATGGGCAAGACTCCTTACCTTCGACCCTATCCGACTCACCCCCGCTGTGCTTTCCGGGTTTGCAAGTAAAATATTTAGTGCTGGCGCTCCATTAGATTGTTGTTTTGCTTTCGTTGATGGTACATTACGCGCCTCTGCTCGCCCAAGTTTTGGCCAGCGTTCAATTTACAATGGCCACTATCACAGCCATGGTTTCAAGTATCAATCCGTCCTGACTCCCGACGGAATAATCGTTGACTTGCGAGGCCCTTTTGATGGAAGGACTCATGATCTGACCATAATGCGGACATCTGGTTTACAGGAGGTTTTAGAGGAACATGCTTGGACAGAAGACAGGGAACCTCTCGCTATTTATGGAGACCCAGCTTATATGCTTACACAACACGTACTGATACCATATAGAACAGCTCCTGTTCCATTAACTCCACTGCAACAGCCTTTCAATAGCTCCATGTCCAAACATCGAATAGCTGTCGAATGGGGATTTGGTAAAGTTGCGGGATTATTCGCCTTTATTGATTTCAAAAAAAACCTCAAAGTGTTGCTTTCCCCTGTTGCCCGATGCTATCAATGTGCAGTGATCTTCACAAATATCCATACATGCTACTATGGATCAAACACATCATCCCATTTTGAAGTAGATCCCCCTGCAATTGATGAATATATTCGGCCTGATCTATACGATGAGGTTCCTTATCACGAATAAAATTTTTTTTATTTCTTTGCTAATAGTTCATGGAGTGCTGCACAACTACTCTGCACAGCCCTCAATATCTCTTTGATGTCGGCACGATGTTCTGCTTCAGCGGCTTTTGAATACTCCAAATATTCTTTTGTTTCAATAACTAGCTTGCTCAGCTCGCTATTATCCCTTGTGCGTCTCATTTTCCGTTGTCGACTTATGTCCGTCGAAGATGAGGTTTCGGAAGAATCTGAAGAACGTTTTCGTGCGGCTCGCGACATAGCAGCTTCTCGCAAAGCCTCACCATCTCTGTTGTTCTGCAGATATGCTTCATGAACACGCTTACGATTCTCTAGATTGTTTGTTCTTTGTTGGTGAGCTTCCTGCTCCAGCTCATATGCCAGGTTGATTAAATGACGGCGCTCGTCCTCTTCTCCAATAATACCAGTCGCCGCAGCTTTTTCTCTTAAATATTTTTTATGATCCTGTGCCATCGCTTCCCATGCGCTTCTAGCATTGCGTACTGTAACGCCGCTGTAAATAGGCGGGCCAATGCGGAGGGGAGATAAATCTGTCTGTTGAACTCGATCGACAACACTCTGCCACCGTTGATTAACTGTCCTATCATCCTTAGCAAACGGAGGATTGCTGATAATTGCCTGAAGAAGAACTTTTTCGTGTAGCGGCTGCATGAACAATCGGCACGGCTTTTTTCGTGACTTAGAAGGTGATAAAGGTGATTCAGAATCTGATCCCGCTTCCTCTATATCACCCACAGAATTCGCTTGGAGCGTGTCCTCAATCGATAAATCCTCAAAGGAAGCCTCGTTGTACAACTCATCATGTGTTGTGTAAGTGTTCATTGTAGAAACTTTCTGATATGTGCTAAAGTTTTCGGTGAAAGGAAGAGCAGAGAGTAAAGCTTCGTGAACACCACATGCCATCGTTTTAAATGACTTCAGGTTTGAGCATTGATGACTAATAGAGCAGAGGTCTCTTGATGGCATTGAATTCTAGTCTGATAGAACGCGTCTTTTTTTGGGAAAAATATATAATTGGCAATTTTATATAGTTTTTTGGCTAAATTAAGCAATTCTGGGCTTGATGTAAAAGTACAGGAAATACGGATCTTGATGTGGTTTACATTACAAATTTACGACAAGCTGGTTTTTAAAAAATAGAGTTGTGTTTTAAGGTTTTTTTTTCACTTCCCGATGTAAATTTTGATGTAAAAACGCAGTTGCGAAAACTCGCTATTGTGGGATTAAGGAGACACAGTTGATGATCTCAAAGATGCAATCAGGAAGAAGAAGGAACCTGAATTCGACGACATTGCTGCCGACAAATTGAATCTCTTCCATGTCTCCATCGTAATCGCTGACGATGAGGACGAAAAAACTATCACACTTTCAGAACACCGAGATGAAAAAAACTTCGTGCAACAAGCAAGATCTCCAAGGCATTTGGCACATCACCTCTGCCTGAGGAGACTATCAACGTCATCGTAGGACGGCCAGGTATTATACAACCGGGCCATTTTCAATTTTTTTTTTTTTTTTTTTTTTTTTTCGTTGGATTCTCATACATTTGTTTTAAATTTCTTATTTTATTACTTAGTAGTGTCAGTGGTGCCGGAGGTTGCCGTACTTCGAAAGACGCTCTCTGATTTAACTTATTTCTTGATGGCCCTACCAGTAAGTCTTATGCAACCATTACACTAGTATAATTGATTGCTACAAAGTGCAAAAGTACAACTTTCTAATTCTATAATTGGATAATTTGAAAAATAGGGTTCTTGATCTTTTTTAGAGGCATCAAAAAAAGCTCGCCTTGGAACTGCAACATTCAATCTGCTACTCTCAACAAATTCAAAGAAGTATTACTACAACTCGCACCATCACATCGGAACGACCCAAATCTACTGATTTATAGTTATGATGGGCCTTTATCGACATCAAAGTACCAAATAATTCTGGATGACGATCATTTGCAAACAACATTGATACTTGCAAAGAAACGAAACTGCAATCTTTATATTTCGTTAGCGTGTCCATCCAAATGCTACTCATCATGGACACTTGACGAAGTATGTGCAGAGTACAGCCTATGTGACAGCAATAAGCCGACAATAGCAGATCTACCTTATTTCGAAGGTATTGAGGCAGTTCCTCTAGAATCTGAAAAAGCCATATCACTCAAGGACGAACTCATTCAAGAGCTCAAGAAACGACAAAACACCATGAAGGATATTTATGCCAATGAGACGTCTCGTTCTCTTATCGTGGGGTCCTATTTGATTGCTGTTACGGAATTGTTTAGTGATGATCTAGTGCTTGATTTAGAGCGAGAAGTACAAGGGCGTCGCGGCCATGGTCCAGTCGACTACTCAGTACATTCCAGAAAATCTTATTACTATATTGTTACTATTATTATTTCTTTTCATTTTTTTTTTTTTTTTTTTTTTTTTTAATTTCTCTTTTTTATTATCATTTCATTATTTATGTTTTTATGGCTTTACTTTTTCAATTTTAAAATACGAGCGTCATCTCAGACCTGAATGCCTGCACTCACCTTATAACGGTTTGGATAAGAGGAATAGGAGAAGAGAACGACAGAGGGAGTTATTTGGCAATATCCTGAGCTTCGATTTGTTATTTTTATTCTATTATTTCCGTTGTCAGCTCATTTTACAACCACAATTATCGCGTACGAGCATCCTCATTTGTAGGAGTGACACGTAAACAACGAATTGGATTATTGGTAAACCTTATCGGTAATACGTGTAGCGGTGACCTTTAGACCATTTCGTCCTCTTATCACGTACATTTTTTATATTTTTATATTTTTGTATTTTTATATTTTATACTCGCAGGCCTATGTCTTCTATACTGATGTCAATACTCAACTAATGTTTGGATAAAAGGGATAGAAGGGAGATATTTTTGCTGTCTGTTTTTTTTCTTTTCCTTTGCATATCTCGCCTTTTATATTTCATGAAATGAAAAAAAAAAAAAAAAAAAAAAAAAAAAGCTTTTAATTTGGGCTCATTTTTTTATCTCCAGCGAATTAGGCTCACTATATTACATAATCTCTTCTCCATTTGTTATTCTGTATATTTATTCAGAGTGTGGGAAAACTTTTACTGTTTCCGATAGTCTTAAAGCTCATGCTACCGGGTTCATACGGACAAAAACCGAACAACCGGCCTGCACTGAAATCGTCAAGCAGTGCAATGACACTCAATCCGAAATTGATTTGGACAAGATGCGTGCAGATATCGACAAGGCCATTGAGGAAGCTAAAAAAAGCTATTGAATCCTTACAGTCAATTCGTAATAAATAAAGATCGCAGTCACCGTTTGACATAAAAACAAATTTAAACGTCGCACTTTCATTCCTTGTGCTTTCATTCCTTTCTCAACCTTCATTCATTTTCATTCTCTACTTTCATTCCTTTCTCTACTTTCATTCCTTTCTCTACTTTCATTCCTTTCTCTACCTTCCTTCATTTCTCTACTTTCATTTGCTTTTTACCTCTCCCGATTCCCTCTCGCATTTCATCATCATTCGATCATGACAAAACTATTTTGCCTTCTTGATGGACAATCCACGGCATTCCCTGTTGAGGTCTCAGTAGAAGACACTATCGGCGACCTCAAAAAAGCAATCAAGAAGGAAAAAGAACCTGAATTCAACGACATTGCAGCTGACAAATTGATGCTCTTCCACGTCTCTGTTCCTGATGAGGGCGCTACAATCAATCTCGCCAATATTGAATCAAAGGAGCTACTCATCAGAGCAACAAGCAAGATCTCCAAGATATTTGGCACATCGCCTCTACCTGAGGAGACTATCAACGTCATTATTCAGCGGCCATTGGAAGGTAAGGGATTGGCTATTTGTTCTCAAACTTTTGTGTATGACATCATAGTCTGCAATTGCGTCTTTTTGATTGCTGCTTCCATTTTGAGCTTATTTAAATTCTAATTGCTTGCTACTGCGGCATGCAAGCATTTAATTACTTGCCATGTGGTGACGCTTGTTCTAATCATTGATTATGTCTAATGATCCATCTTTTTTTATTTTTGGTTTTGCATTATTGCGGTTTAGATCCGTCTACTTCCACTTCGAGTAAGACTCATTTGTTTAATTGGTTCTCTTCTTTTTTCAAAAGGTTAATCATCGCACATGTGCTTGACGGCTACCTCTGATGCTTTTTCTTTTTCTTTTTTTTTGCCAATTTCTATCATTGCTTCCTTTACCAACAGACTTGGAGAAAAAAAGGACGGCCGATGACTTATGTGACTTATGTAAGCTAATTCTCCCTTAAGGATTGGAAACCGATTCTTTATTTTTCTCTTCTGACAGGTCTTGCTGTTTTTTTTTTTTTTTTTTTTTTTTTTTTTTTTCTTCTAGTATCGCCAGTTTTGAAAAAGAAGAGATGGACTGTTAATGGAGCGATCCGATTCATTGATATAAAATCAGTCTATTATGTTGACACTGCGAAGCATGACGTGAACAGGAGAATTTTGAATGCTGTTACAAATCACGAGTTAGCAATGCTCATTGGTGCACGTGCATCTGGAAAGACAACAAGGTTGAATGGACTTATAACTCAACTAACTGAAAGTGGATACCGTTGTTTTATGTAAGTTTACCCTCATCTTTTGAATTTGTCTCTGATGTTGTACCTGCTCTTACGCTCATTCCTTCTATCTAGAGTTTCATTTGAGGAAGTTATCAATGATGAGTCTGATTTCTGGAGAATTTTTGGAAAAGCTCTTCGCCGCAACTATAAAGTCGATGACATTACAACCCAAGCTGATTTTCTCGATGCTTTCGGTCGAACTAAATTCAAGGACGAGAAGATTGTCATCTTGGTTGACGAGTTTGATTTACTGTTTAACGCAAGCGACGAGATCCGCAACCAATGCTTACAGGCGTTTCGAGCAATCCGACAGAACAACCATTTATACGCCATTGACAGTATTGTTGTATGCGGGACTTTTAGCCTTCAAGACTTGAGCTCAACAAATCAACGTGTATCTCCTTTCAATATCAGTGAGATTCACAGGAACCCGTATTTCACTCTTGATCAAACGCAGCAGCTCTTTAATGACTATGCGAAGGATGAGATGATTAAAATAGATGATGAGATTATTCGAGACGTACACTCGAAGTCAAATGGGTATGTTTTTTAAGCTTAGTTAACTCTCCACGAGTTGATGTGCCATTCTAATACAATGAATTGTGCTCAATATCAATAGTCATCCAGGAATGATTTGTCTTTGTGGACGCTCCATTCATGAGGATCTTCGCTCGAAAGTCAACGACTCGACGAATTGTCTCGATTACGATACATGGCAGGACTTCTCCATAGACAATCAGAATGAGAGGATGTTTTCGTACCATACTTTTAGAAGGATGGTTGATTCACTTTTGAGTGAATCAGCTACAGATGCTGTTAATCTTCTCCGAACATATTTTATTGGGTATCTCGGCGTTATATCTATCTCAGACATGGAAAAACAGAGATTGGCAGACTTCCTAACTGCAGAAGGGGTGCTGATAAGACTTGATGGCAGTAAATACTGTATGGCCTCAGCATTCATTGACTCGTTTGTGAGGAGATATATTATCCCATCAAAATATCCCCACGCTCCTTCGGAGTCACCCCCAAAGAAAAGAGGAGGATCATTGGATATTCTAGAGATTATGAAGATTGCTCTTCGATTTTTCGATAAAAACTTGATTATGCAGGCGGGAAGTCGATCATACAAAGGATCGGGGAAAACAGTTAAGGTTATGGGCGACTGCAATGTCAGTGTCCCTCGAGAGAGCGTCTATGACGCGGAATTGATGAGGGTTCTCACCAACTGGCTAAACAAAACAGAAGAGTATGAGATCATTGGTCAGTGGCACCTCCGTGAGCGTGAGGACCACAAATATAGTGACATTGTCATCAAGAAAGCAGGAAACCCTACGGTTGTTATCGAGCTTTTGGCTACAGGGAGTCAAACTTCTATTAAGGGCCATATCAGCAAGACGCTAACTTACAAACGTTTACTCCCAGCAGAAGAAGCTTGGGTTGTTCATTTTACCTGTGAGGACGACTATTTTAAGTACCCATACTGGCAAACCAACGCGGAACTGGACCAAGGGGCGAATTTGGTGCATTTCTGGCACGATAGGAGTTTTAATACAGTGCGGATGAATGCTCGCTGGAAGGACAGTGGCAATACTCAAAGAATTGACAATGAGCTGTTGACTGTCTAACAGCAATTCTATTTTTTTTTTACCCAGCATTGTAAGGACGTCCCATTTTGTTGACATAGGCTTTATAATTTTGCAGATCTGTTTAAATAGCTGTTACTTTGTATATTTCGCATTGATTGCATTAAAACACTCTCTCTTCATTAATGACAAACAATTTACTTTATGTATCTATACCTTAATCTATATTTATATATTAGTCAGAAAGGCTTCGGGTCGAGTTGGGTAACCTGGCTGTCACGTCACGAGCCTTATTGCGGGACCTATTTTGGGGCAAATGATATCTATTCAGCAACAAATGTCGATGCATGCGGAGCATGTTCTACCAAAAGTGTAGTAAGGACATAATATCTTCTATAACGTAAACACCATTCAACGTGGTAGCATCCACCCAATCTGAAGAACTATGTATATAGAATAATAATAAATAGTTGCTGACTTTTTATGAATAGGCGTGCTTGTCAGCCTGAAACGACACAAATTGGCATTGATTACCAGGCTCGCACAATTCGAGCTCGAACTTTTTGATACGAGAAATGAGCTTGAGAGTGCCATGGACACAAAGGGAAGTATAAAGAGAAGACTGAAACTTTCTTCTGACAACTGAAAATACAAATCGAATACATGATACTGTAATAGTTTATTAAGTCAAATTCCAGTGTATGCCCATTAATAGGCAAAATGTTTCATAGGTTTCACGTACAGACACAGAGACACAGAGGTTAGAATTCAGGCACATGTCTTTTCACTACATCTATAATGGATTATGATGCCAAATCCAGTCCTTTTTCCATTTAAGGGTATTATGTTTCATGTCTGTACGTACAAGACATGTGTCCGTTTTGTGGCTTTTACTCCGACACTTGTCCTGAAATTTGAATTGACATCAAATCCATCGAAATTTTAACAATGTCATCATGGCATGCTAAAGATCTCTTTCTTTCTTCTTTATTTCACGCCTTCATTCCTCCATACATTCATATACACAATAAAACAATAAAACCTACAATACACAGAGTAGACTTACCCTCTCCCCTGACTAAAACTGAGAAAAATAACGGCACATTCGCATTTTCAAAGGTTCATTCCTGCTTGCTCACTTTCAAAATGACAAACAACAACGAAAAGATTTTATCCAATTTCACCTGCATGGATTTGGAACAAAGCACCAGTCAGACGAAGCCAACCAATTCAAGTACTCGCACTGGATCCACTCGTGCAACACCGAGGAGAAAAAGAGTTATTCTGACTGACGAAACGACTCCAGAGCCTTCACCAGTGGCACAGACTGCTAGAGTTAGTGCAAAGTCTTTTAAGCGCCCTAGGCGTTGTGAGGCTGATTCTTTATCCTCAAATGTCCTTCACTCCGGTCCATTGACAGAAGAAGAGCTGGCCCTGGCGAACGCACGGAAGGAGTCGGCGAGAAGTGTGCTGCAGATGATTTTAGATGATCCAGATTCATCGACGACAGTGAATCAATATAAGACACAGCTCCGGCTGTGGGAGGTATGTTGGATCATCAAAATGTCGCTATGAGCTATCTCAGACAGGCTATCAAACTAGACGACTTGGCTAATTCTCTTTTTTGTTTTTAGCAATACTGCAATGAAAATTATCAAGGTGACTGTAGCGTCGATGCGAAACGCATGCTTGAATACTTCACAACGGTTGTCTTCAAGCGAACAGTAAAGCGATTGATCGGCACAGATCGTTGCTACCGTGGCGCTATTGGGTATGCCCAGCAGGGTGGAGGAGATTCTTCGAATTCTCAGGCTGGGGAAGACGCAGTCTATGAGGGAGAAGAGATCGACGAATTAGTCGAGGCAGATATCGACGAACATGAACTAAGCGACATGGAGCAGAGACTGGAGACATTAGATAACAGCGAGCAAGTTGATGACGACGACGGCCAAAGCATAGACCAAGGTCAACAACAGGGACAGGGTCAGAGACAGGGTCAGGAACAGGGTCAGGAACAGGGTCAGGATCAGGATCAGGAACGGAGACAGGGTCAGGGGCAGGGACAGGAACAAGGACAGGAACAGGAACAGGAACAGGAACAAGGACAGGAACAGGAACAGGATGAAGATCTGGAGCTTCAGCTGAGGTCATTGGCACAGAGAGGTAAGAAGGCTCCTCCCTCCTGGGATAATATGGAGCCACCTGAAGGAGTCGACCCACATCAATGGCAGATTGATATAGCATTGAATGATGAGGAGCGAGCATCACATGAAGCTGTAACTGTTGGGGGTTCAAGCAAGAACATCACGCCGAAGCGGAAGACTGCAGCCGTTATCAGGACTGAAAATGAAAGAGAACAAGGTATGTAAAGATAACCATGTATTAATATATAAATTGTTATACAGTACTGGGATCCAAACCTTTGGGAAGGCTCCGCCATCACGCGTACCCCAGGTGACAAGACACCATGGCCGCAACTCAGTGTTAATTATCAATATAAATAGCCTACTAAATTATGACTTAATAAACCATTCCTTAATCCTGCATCCACCTTAATGTATCTTTGATTGTTACAATTTACACTAATGGTTGATACTTTTTATTATATATACAATTTTTTTTTTTTTTTTTTTTTTTTGGATATACTTTTGCGTTTGTAGTTATCCTGCAAGCACCAGAGGACAAACATGGCAGCAAAATTGTCTTTGTTCCTCTCACGCTGGGGACAGTCGCAAATGTTAAGAAGGCTTTGCAATACTTATGGAGGCAACAGTCTTCTTCGACAGCTCCGTATCCCAATCCCGCCCCAAACCCAAGAACGGATGTACCACTAGCGGAGGCGATCAAAAATTATGGAGAGAAACTTGTCCATCACAAAGTAACGACAGGCACCTTATCTCGCACTGCCACCTGTGCCGTACGAGAACCTTACAACACTAAAATGTACCTGCGTATGTTGGCCTTTACATGGCGCATGCTTCCGACGGTTGGAGTAAGCGGCAGGCGACCTTACGACAGTGTTACAAGATTTCAGTATATGAGGGAGAGGCTATGCCTCCTTGCACGCCATCATATGTTGCTGCGGGATGAGGACATCCGAAACTTGAACCTGGCTAACACATTCAATATTCAGACCCGTCACCCCGCGCCAGGGTCAAAGCTGGCGTCGGGGCTTGTCTTCTGCATCACACGTGGAAAGACAAACCATAAAGGTGTCGAACTCTATGCGACAGCTTATCGACATAAGCTGTTCTTAAGGTGCACCGTGGGCGGGTTTGCATTTTATATGCTAGAACAGTTCCAGGTAAATGATGCCGTCAGTCTTGACGCGAGCGTATGATTTTTTCTCATTCAATTACACGAAGTGACATATATCCTTATTTTTTTTTTTTTCCCTATTGTAGGTGTTCAAGGAGCCTCTTCCCAATTTTGCGGACCCTGACGAGTGGTACAGCATCAAGGTGCTAACAGGGGGTGGAACAAGCCAAGAACGGTTAGAGAACCGAAAGGAAGCGCTTGTTGGCCGAACCCAAATGAGCACTACGGCGGCTGTAATGCGTGCCTGCGACGTGCATTCGGCCAAAATTACGCACTCTGGCCGATATGCAGGGGTCTCGGAAGCCTACGAAAGAGGCTTAAGCCTGGACGATATTCCACTTGGGAAGGTAGCTACAAGAGGCAGAAAACTGTTGGCTGCATCCTTGAGCCAAAAGAGGCTGAGAAAATACAATGTACAAGCAATCCATTGTCGTGAAATTTGTGATATTCCAAGGTGTTTAGCATAAGTATCATCCAGAAAAAAGCATTATCGTCAACACTATTAACAAGACAAAACACCATCAAAGCGCTATCAAAGCATTTTTAACTCGACTCGGCTACCAACGCACTATAGCAGAAATAATTGAATACTTCATCAATATAAAAACTGTCTTAATCATTAACACTGTCTCTACCATAAAAAGATTTTGTCTATTTCGCTTCACAAATCCATTTTGTGGAAAAAGATTTGTGAAGCGAAATATAAAAATTTTGTGACTTGGTATCCTTCTGTGTCCACCTGTGTCCGCCTGTGTCCATCTGAATGGACACAGGTGAGCAATTTCGTTTCACAATCTAGGAGAAAAGAACGCGTCCTGCACAGTGTTGACCCGCACAATGCACAATGTTTTTTGAGGCTTAGCCTAGGAAAATACACTCTAGTCTAATCGATTTAAACAAACAAAGAAGGTCAAAAGGTAAAAAAAAATAAAAAAGCAAGGGGAGATCTACCATGCTGTTCAATGCGGACAATGCATCAATCCGGTGTTTTCCCGAGGATTTCTTTTTTTTTTTTTTTTTTTTTTTTTTTTGCTGCCTTAGCCCAAGGGACGTGCCGTTGACTTTGTGACACTTTTAACGATTGGGGAGGACAAGAGTCTTCCCAGAAGTTATTGATAATCCCGAGAGCTTTTTCTTATTCCATTGTTCTTGAAATTCTTTTTTTCTCATCTCATTCACTTTCGCCATCTCTCTTCCATTCTCTTTCTTTCTCTCCTTTTTTTTTTTTTTTTTTTTTTTTTTTCTTCACCACTTACGCTTTATCGTTGCATTCCACACACCCCATTTAAAAAAAAAAAAAAAAAAAAAAAAAAAAAAAATTTATCAGCAATGGCTCCTGTCCCACCCGAGGTTGTTTATGACGTCCAGAACATTCACACCGCCCTCACATATGCTGTACCAGACCAAGAAGCCTTAGTCAACATCATTGGTACATATACTTTTTTTTTTTTTTCTTTGCATAATGATAAATGTGAACAGAAAACATTGTGGGGGAGGGGGCTTGTATCTTATCTGAAACAAATGCAATTGATGAATAGTCATAATAATGATAATAATATTAATCCTAATAATTTAGGCCGCAGAGAATATCAGCAATTAATCGAAATTGCTCGTTATTACAAATCTCTTTATAATACGGACCTCGCAACAGAACTCGATCGACGTATCATTGGAAGTGTTGGATCATTGCTGTCCTTTGCTTGTATGAACAGGGTCTTGGCTGGGGTCCTATACCTGCACAACGCTGGCAAAAGCAAACGCAAATACGAAGTCTTAAGAAAAAATGATACTGCCGTTGAGGTGTTTTGTGAGGCAAGTCCTTTTATTATTATTATTTTTCTTTATACTATTTTTATTATTATCTGTTCTATATATATTTTTTTTTTTTTTTTGTTATATATTGCTCATAGACTGTATAATACTTTTCGAGACACGAAACGTTGTGGAAGAGAGTATGTGTATTTGAGTGCATGTGAATGATAGACGTGCTGGGTGGGGTGGATGTGAGTGGGCGTTTGGATGAATATGTGTATGAATGTGGTTTGCGAATCTGTATTTCAGACAGAGCGGGACGAAACAAATTTGGGGGGCTGAAAAAAAAAAAAAATTGTGACAAATTATATAATAACCATATTGATTTTTTTTGTTTTCATTCCCACAGGTTTTGGTGGGAAGAACACCTGAAGAAATACGTGAGCTCCAGGGAGCATTCACTGCTGTCTATCATTCAGATTTGAGGGATCACATCATGTCCTATCTGCATGATGACGTTGTCAAGGCTTTCTTCACTGCCATCCTACAGGTAAAGAAAAGAAAAGAAAAGCAAAACCTTGCATATCCACACTGGGAGGATATTAACATGTTACAAAGCTAACTAAATCGTTTTTTTTTTTTTTTTTTTTTCCTTTTTCTTTAACGTGCACAGGACAAGGAAGAAAAACCACTTGAAGATCGCAAGGCAGCTATCGAAAAGTTTCATTCGTTATTGTATGGTCATGATTTAGCAGCCGTGCTTGAATATGTCTCCTCACTTACAACGGCACAACTGTGCGATCTTGTACGCCACTACAACATGTGTTATCAGGACTCACATACCGTGACCACGATTAGGAAACAGTTTGGACATAAGCATAAAGGAGAGCAGCTGGATGTCTTGTTGTTTGCGGTCATGCAAGCTTCCGATCCAGCTCGTCATATTGCTTTGTTGTTGGAGAACTCAATGTATGGGCTTGGGACCAATGAGGATCAATTGTCCCGCTTGGTGGTCCTCCACCGAGGTAACATGATGGAAAGGGTCAAAACTGCATACCATGTTGATAACAGTCGAACATTGGCAGATCGTATCAGGGTAATGAGAAAAAAAAAAAAATGCTGTTATTAGATTAGTGTTATTTATATGTATCAACGACTTTATAAGGACTATGCGTGTTGAATAACCATCAAGGACTAATCTTTTTTTTTTTTTTTTTTTTTTTTTTTTGGATCGCTCTAGGGTGACACTTCGGGTCTGTACAGCAATTTGCTTTGCCATTTAATTAACCAAACTATCTAAGATCCAAGCAAATGTATGCGCCCACAAAGACAGCGTTGTTGATTTATGCTTTACAAGACATAAGAGAAAAGAAAGAAAGCTCTGCAATTGTTTATATCCTCCTCGCAACTTATAGTAAAGATTCCTGACAATTTTTTCTATCAACCTGAGTGCATGAAAAAAATTATTGACCCGCAAGAAAAGAGAACAGCTCTTTCGAGTCATTGTGCAAAAGCAAACATTCTTGATAAAGAAAAAAAAAAAAAAAAAAAAAAAGTCGAAAGTCGATGCAAGAGAGAGACTTGCAAACTGAATGCAGACAGACACAAACAAAATCCCACCCCTACAAACCCGTATACTTCTCAGTCCTGAACTCGCTCTCACTTTTCTTTGCCACCAGTAGTCAATTTGATGTGGCAGTGCACATCACTAATTAAGCTCAAACAAAAGTAGGAAGCGGCGTCTCTAGACAGAGTCCATGGACAAAAAGAGCTCCATTCTCGTTCTCATTCTCATTCTCATCTTTGCATGACATGAATGTAACAGCTGTGTGCATTTCACCATTTTCTGCATCTCGACTTCATTTCTCTATACCTTACTTGACATAAAACAATAGAAAAGTCATGGGTATTCTTAACCCAGTTTGCACAGCGACAGACGGTATCCGAGTGTTCGCACTTGCATACGCTTCTAGTTATAGCGACTTGTCTTCGAGCTATAATATCTTGATCAAATCGGACGACTATCCAAATGAGAACGTCCAGTACATGACCTGGTCCTTAATCAGTGCTGTCCCTCGCGATCCATACTATTATCTCAGTGAAGTCAACACCAATGGTCTTGGATATGGTTGTGCAGTTGATAATAAAGGGGTCTTTACAGCTCTAGCACGCCTATCACAGCAATCCAAGTCTGCACCACAGGACACAGTCGTTAGAGGGATCCAATACACGCCTGGTAGTGCAGGAGCAGCAGGCACATGGAAGAACATTGATGTCTCTCAGCCTTATGTTTGGCTCGAATCCGCCAAAGCACACTTGTACAACTTGTTGGATCCAGTAACGAATCAAAACATCTTGATGCATGCCTCGATCTCGACCCAAGGAAGTGATACTAGAATTATGATGGCCTCGTTCAACCCTACCACCAACGTCATGGAACAAAATGCGGCCCCTTGGAAGTTGGTAAACAAGCAAAACCCCCATCTTGTCCAACCTTTCTAAATGCTAGTTTTTGTCTATCTCTGTGCTAGATCCACTAATGTATGGATTTTACCTCTTCAATAATAATTAAAGCCATATGTCACTAGGTCTCTCACATTCGGGGCAAATAATACATTGTTCGTGTTGGGCCAGAATATGTCTGCCCTACAGTGGGACAGTACTATCTTGACAAAGGTCCCTGTTACGCCTGGATCCACGACCATGCCAAACCCCTCAACCTTGACGTATATAGACGGGTATAGTTTATGGGCCCCCTGCGCTACGGATTATCCTGATGTCAATATGTGGCCTTTTAATAAAGGCGCTGCATTATCGTGCAAAGTAAGAAACCCCCCCCCCCCCCCCCCCCCCGACAATTTCCTTTGTCTTATAAAAGAATATTTATAAGCTCTATTTTTTTATTCTCTTCATTTCCCGCTCTTATAGTCCAAGTTTTCTGGCCCTGCCAGCACCAGGGTGTTTACGACGGACGGGACTAGTCCAATTAAATCCCTCGATGTTTTAGGGTATTCAGGCACGTTTGACAACGTACGCACGATCCTCCTTGTCCAGGGTGCAGCCCATCCGTTCTTGTTCATGTATAACAGCTCGGGCCTTTATAGTGCCCCTCTGTCGGGATACCAGTTCGCTAAATGGGCCACCTCACCAAATAGGATCAGTATTCCGGACCAGTATGGCCTCCACGTAGATGACCCCTCATCCCCTAATCCATCCTCAACCAGAAGTCCTCGACCAACCGATACTACTACAGACGATAGAAGCAGCAATGGAGGCATGATTGGGGGGATATGTGTAGGCATCGCAGTGGTCGCGGCTGTTGCAGTGTTTCTGTTTATACGCAAGCGGCGACAACAGAACAAGAATGCGTTTAAGGGTTTGGCAGATTCAGAAGGTAGCAACGCGGGCTTGGAAGGCAGCAATTTGCTCCCGCTACAACTGCCTATTGAGCGAGCCATGAAGTCTGATGTCACGGACTCTTGGGCTTCACGTCCAATAGATCCATCCAATCCTAGTCAGTTTGCTTCATCTTCAACCTATACCCCTTATACTAACAACAACCTCAGCCATACCGCCAATGCCAACAATCCTCCAATCAATGGGTCCTACCCAATGGATCTGCCTGCCTATACCGAGAATACGGCTGGACCACATGCGGTACTTCCACTCCCTCTTCATGATCCACATGGAATTCAAATAGCCTCACCCTTGAATCGTGAAGTCTTGAGCCTACCACCAGCTTCTTCAATTTCGGATGCTATTTCAGCAACACCGTTGTATTGGGAGCCCAAGCCATTTGTTCCTCCAGGGCCAAGTAATAACAATAATAACAACAATGTCAACACAAACAATCATATTAACAATACCAATAGTATCCAAAGTGGAAGCATGAGTGTGGCTTCACCGCTAACTTCGGGTCTTCCGAGTGTACCCCTTTTCTGGGAGCCCAGACCATTTGTTCCGCCGACTCGCAACGATACCAATGTCGCCGCCATTAATAACAATAATAACAATAATAACTTTAATAATAATAATAATGTTAATCACAATGAGAGCAGTCCGGATTTAATGTCAACAGCATCGACTTTGGTCCAAGACTCTCCAACACGTAGTCCTCAATCAAGAGAAATCTATGCTGAGAATGAGCAAGATTTGCCACCGCGAATCGCTCCTGCAATCCCACAACACTCTAGGCCAAGCGGACATTAGCCGTTAAGAAAATATAAAAATAAAAACAAAAACAAAAGTAAAAGTAAAAGTAAAGAAAGAAAAGAGCATGCTTACAGAGAAGTCGTACAAATACGTAATGATTAAAATTACAGTATGGGATTTTGCTGTTATAACTACTATGCTACTATTTCCCTACTATTGAAGATGATGTACTAGAAGTAAAAGTAAGGGGAGGGAAAGAAAAAGAGGATGAGCAGTTTCCAACGGGGCCTTTTTATTTATCTGTATTAATAGCGAGGCCACGAATCGGTTGATGAAAAAAAAAAAAAAGATGCAGGATTTAATGATTTCAGTAATGAGAACAGAAACGATAGAAAGCTCCATCTTTGTGAATAGACGGAGGGGTTACTAAGGTCTATACGGTTACTCGACTACTTTCTGATTATATATTACACTACGAAATATGATATGCATATGGCGATGAAGATAAAAAAAAAAAAAAAAAAAAAAAAAAAAAGCTGGCAGCGTAAACAAATGAAGTAGTCATGGATAGAGAGGCTGGCTTCCACTATTGCCCATCAATGCTTAAGACTATGGGATGGGTTATATTTCTACAAAAACCACTGTTTCTCATTACCCTTTTTTTTTTTTTTTTTTTTTTTTCCTTGCATAAGAGTAAAGGAAGGAAGGAGGGTGGGTGTAAGAGAAATAAGCATGTGCCCAATTTTTAATTTACATTTTGATTAGAGCAATTGTTGCTATCGCTACTGGCTGTTGGGTTTTGCCTTGCCTCATTCTCCTGTTGGTCCCTAGTTGGTGAGGCCCTCATCTCTAGAGAATGTGATAGATACGGTTGCTGGGTTTGAGAAGTTGTTGATGTCTCAGGCGCCATTGCTGCTAATGTGCTTACCATTGCTATTGTTGCAATTGCTGCTGTTGCTGTTGTTACTGTTATTGTCGTTGCTGCTGTTGTTGCTGCTGTTGCCGATGGAGTCCCGGCTGACGATGGATGAATCTGTTCTTCATTAGTTCGTGGAACATAATCTGGTGGCGGGTCCTCCATAGAAACATGTGTTTCATGGGTATCATATGTTTCTTGTGATAGTGATGATTGGTTTTGTTGTGCCCTAATATGCTCAATCTGCAATGTATGCTCAGCAGCATCAACAGTACATGAATAACATGGTGATGATGATGGCACCGACACTGGATCTTCATAAAGCGGCAAAGGGTCTACAGAATCTATAGCATCCCGATGTAATCGTTGCCCTCCAGACCTGGGCTGTCGAGATGTAGGAGCAGGGTTGCCAGAAGTTGAAGCGTTACGACTTGCTCTGTTATTCCTTGCTCCTATCTCAAGCATGGTCTGTGCTCTGATACCTGCAGTTGATAACCGCACGGTCGATCTGGGATCTGGTGGAGGGCAATGTGAGTGATCTAGATCTGAGACAAAGGAGGCAGTGCTATTGGTCTTCAAACATGTTTTGAGGCTGTAAAGGAATAATGCGAAGGCTAAACAGCCTATGATGGCCATGAAGGTGGTCTCCATGACGAGTTTTTAGAAAAAGGAGAAAAAAAAAAGAGTTGAATCTTTTGATTATAAGTTTTCTACTTTCTTTTTTTTTGTTTGTTAAATATAAAAAAAAAAAAAAAAAAAAAAAAATCTCAAGATACTGTCTGTTATATAGAAATGAACGAGGTTAGTTGGATGAGGGGTACACTGAGGAACACTGTACTTGAAATATGAAAAAAAAAAAAAAAAAAAAAAAAAAAAAAAAGTTGGTATTGCTATTTGTTGTCTTTGGAAATGTTGGGCAGGGGTAAAAATGACGAGATAAAAACACACAAAAAAAATTTTTTTTTTGATGAAATAAAAAGAACGGAAAAAAAAGAGAAGCAAATGCATGCATGCACTCATACTTTCTTGTTGTTACTTGTGTACATGTGCTCGCGTTGTCGCTGCTGCAGTGCAGCGCCGTACCAAATAAATAAAAAAAAAAAAAAAAAAAAAAAAAGTATATGAATCTAGGAGAAAAGAGAAAATAGAAGAGGCAAAAAAATTTCTTGTTTGGTGAGATGAATGTCGTGCCTGGAGAGCATCTTTGGCACATTGGGCCCTTCCTTGTGTGACCACAGTACGGACCAATCCAAACATTAGCAAGTAGCACAAGTTACTGCAGCCTGAAGCCCATCAGGCCTAACATCGACAGGCAAGACAGGGACTTCATGGGAATCCTTCCAGATACCCCAAAGCAAAGTAGTCAGTCATTGATCATTGACCCACCGATAACTGACTGATCTTTGATAGATCGATAGATAACAGCCTCGCTCACTGCATCTTAGTTAAGAGCCTCATATAATCGGCACTTTCACCAAGTCCAACTCAAATCAAATGTAGATGTGTGGTTGCGCACTATTACTTCCTGTATATAGCTTCCAGTTAGCCAATGTGCTGAAAGGTATCTCTAACCTATTAAAACCGGGCGAAGAATACTGTGGTTACCGCAACTCTTTTTCTGCAAAAAAAAAAAAAAAAAAAAAAGTTTAAAAACATATAAAGAACTGAGCCGTGCCATGTCTCAAAGACCCTTAACAAGCTCTTCTGAGTCCCCATAACACCATTTCCCCTGTCGCTACATCTATGCCCCACACATACAGTAGCCTCCAGTCCCGATTCTCAGTCTCCGATGCAAGAAAAGACGTACCCAAGCTTTCGGTACGTAATTCACATCCGGAGAGGGTACCGGAAGACACGCCACCAAAGAATTTAAAAAGATTTAAAAGTCGCTACTCGGCAACTTGATTTCACAAAGACCACGACCGAGCAAGAAACAAAGTCCAGTGACGCCGCTAGCGGTTGTTCCTGGAGTTAATGCTGTCCCCGAGTCAGATATTTCTGAATCTGAAGCTTTTACATAATCTAATTTGGGTCACAGGGCCTACTACAGGCTCATGGACACATCATCCTTGGCAAAAATATAGGGAAAAGAGGCGAGGCGGAGAAGTATGAGGTCGCGCAGGGGTCTAAAGCTTAAATTCCATTACTTCCAGGTACTTGTCCTTTATTAAATACTCCTGATCTGGCCAATAAAAGCCTAAGAAATAAAGGCGCGTCATTGACGTCAGTGTGACTACTCTATTGACACGCGTGTGCGTGCGTGCGCGTCGACAAGGGACTAATGAACAATTCATTAACCTCTTTGAACAGTTTGCATTACTCTTTTTTTTTTTGTTACTTCAACGCCTACTCCCTTCGTCAACACCAACAGCAACAAGAGCGACAAGCAACATCAGCTATTACTATTACTATACTACGACTAGCGTTACAGTATCATAAAAACCCGATACAACATGGATACTCTTTTCGGCATCACAGGCAAGGACTTTGTCATCACTGCGTACGATTCCAAGGCAGTTGCATCCATTACTCTCATGAAGATTGGTGAAGACAAGTCTAGGGAACTCAACTCACACTCGATCATGCTCTTCTCGGGCGAGCCTGGCGATGGTGTTCACTTTTCAGAATATATTGAACGTAACGTGAAGCTCTACGGGATCCGCAACGGTATCGAGCTTAGTCCCAAAGCTGTCGCTTCCTTTGCCAGACGTGAATTGGCTGACAGCTTGCGTAGCAGGGTAAAAAAGAAAGTCATATTATCGACTCGTGTTGCCTTACGGCTCAGTATTGTTTATTGTTCAAGAGATGCTAACGTTATGGTCCTATTTTCTATATATCATTGTCGTTTTTCTTTTTTTTTCTTTTTTTTTTTTTTTTTTGCACATTTTTCCAGAAACCATATTCTGTTAACTTGTTGATTGGTGGATACGATGTCAAGACCAACAAGCCTTCACTGTACTGGCTGGATCACTTGGCTTCATCGGCAGAAGTCCCATTTGCTGCACATGGATACGGTGCTTACTACTGCTTATCGCTTCTGGATCGGTACCATCGTGAGGATATCACAGAGGAAGAGGGCGTCAAGCTGTTGCAAAAGTGCATCCAAGAACTTCGCTCACGCATGATCCTTAACATGCCTGACTTCGTAGCTAAGGTTGTGAACAAGGATGGAATTCGAATTGTGCAACTCTAGAAGAAGAAAAAGAAGAAAAAATAAGAAAAATAAGACAAAAAAAAATAAAGGGAATTTGTTCTGCCCTCTTTTTGTCCAATTGATGAGGCAAAAGAACAGTATACTACAAACAACTAAACAATAAAGGAAACGAAACGATAACAATAGCATAATGGGCGATTGGAAGCCAAAAGTTGTGATACAAAGCAAACACTTACAAGAGGTCCTAATCAACCATCTTTAAATCAAGGAACATTGAATAATCTTTCCATCCTAAGGGATTTCAGCTGAATTTTAAAAAGTGAATGGATATATTACTCCACCTTGTAAATAACAGGGATAACAAAATAGAAGAACTAGCAAGAAGTTGTTTATTCATATGAAGATGAAGACTAAGATATTGGCAATGATTCGAATAGTCATCATCTCTTTTATCCCTCACTACTTTTTTTTTTTTTTTTTTTTTTTTTTTTTTTTTCCGAAGCTTATTACTTGGCTGAGGTTGTAGTTCAAGATTTTGTTTCTTGTCCTTTAGCACCACCATGGACACCAATTGTTGCACCAGTTTTTACACCACCAGGGACATCGGCAATTGCCCCAACAGTTCCAGCCGCATTTGGAGTTTGCACCTTCCTCGGACACGTTGGCATTCAAATCCTCTACAGATCCTTCAGCAGTGTTGATGGCCTGGAGATCCTCGTTGACCGAAGCTTCGGACTTTGTAGGAGCCGCGATGGTAGGATTGGTCTGGGCAGGCTTAACAACGGGAAGGGTGATCGAGGTAGGATTGGCTAAAGATAGATTAATGGACGAAGTCTCGGCTGTCAAGGGTGCGGCCTGGATGACCGTCAAAATGGTCGCAACTAAAGCAATAGAAGGAGTCTTGAACAACATTGTGTCTTAATAATAAGGATGGATGACAAAGCAAGAGAGAAAAAAATAAAAAGAGAGAGAGAGAGAGAGAGAGAAGATGAATAAGTTGATTGGCTGATTGTAGGTGGTGTTGACTACCCTGGATTCTTAGAGTATTGATATCGCTGGTAGGTCCGAGAAGTGTTCGGAGAGTTCAGGTATTTATACATGAGCAGACGAATAATGCGTTGCTTGTGCCAACTAAAGGATAACTTGATACCCCGGCGCCATTGCCATTCCAGCTCGGAGGTTTTTTTTAAAGAACTGTACAATCGGTATGATCTAATGTTTCTTTTGTTTTTATCAGATTCAAATTTGAATCCATCATTTGCAAGGCGAAGAGGGGAGAAATATAAAAAAAAAAAAAAAAAAAAAAAAAAAAAAATGAATATTGTTTTTAATGAGGAACCAATTCCGAGATCTCTATCCCTTTGATTCAGAGTCCCCACTGTCATGATTTGAATGAACAAAAAAAAAAAAAAAAAAAAAAAAAAAAGAGAAAACTACAGCAAGGCTATCATTGAGACATTCTTAATGCACTACATGTGTATGCACGTGCATATATTGGATCACAATAAATCTTCGGAAAATTTTACTAAGCATTCCAACAGTAAATGTTATTTTTCTAACACGACCTCCTATGAAGAAGCGGAAACAAAAAAAAAAAAAAAAAAAAAAAAAGTGAATATTACGGTCCAAATAACTGTGATACAACTTTTTGATGTTGAAATATTAGAGAAACCCAAATAGTCATCAGTTTAAGACAGTGTTTTCGTACTGATGTACCCCTCCCATACCTGAATCCGGTAAAATAAACCGATTGTGGCGTACAGTGGAATCTCGATAATTGTACACTTTTGTACAATTTTCGAATTTGCTATATTTCTCGGTTATTGATTGGCTAAGAAGCCGACAATTCATGAAAAACTATTCTAAAAATCCTCTGCTGATTCCCCTACTCCAGTTGAGTGTGGGTTTTTTAGAATACTTTTTTTTAAAAGAGTAAGGCTCTTAGCCAACCAATGGCCTAGAAATATATCAAATTTGAAATTTGTACAAAAGTGTACAATTATCGAGATTCCACTGTACAAAATTTATCTAACATCGGTTTTTGCAAAAGTAAAAAATCGGTAAGTTACTTACCGGTTTCTTACCGATTTCTTACCTCTGTGATACCGATTTCTTACCTCTACAAAAAGTTTACTCCAAAAATGAATAGCAGCTTCTTCTTAGTTGCATGTATATGCTGGGTCCTTATATATGCATATAACTTGCGCTTGGTTCTTATATATACACGGTATACACGACAGAACAAAAAAAAAACTTTTGTTATAATTTCTGGACTAAGGAAAAATGCACCCCCCCGGCTGAGAATTCCTAAAACCCCCCCGTCAACATACCTTTATTCGGAATTCTTATTCCCCCGGCAACCACGTAATCCTTAACCCCCCTGTCAATATTCTAGAGCTGTTTTTGAAATTGAGAACCGTTTTTCATTCCTAATCAAGAGCATAAAGTTGGACCTGAGTTTATGCAAGCATCTTTGTGGCTTGTTGACAGCAAAAAAATTGATTCATAGTGTGGTGTTATAGTGTAAAGTCTTTCTTTTCGATGACTATATCGCATGTAAAGTTGCTGAAGGTTCTGAGCCTAGAGATAAATACAATACTAGGGAGGGAGCCATTCATCAAGGAACATGTGTGAAATATGCCAGGGTCATAATAAGTAACGAGAACGAAATAAAGATGTGTTTATTGTGATCCAGGGATCTTCGTTAAATAAAAAGGGTAAAAATCTTAGCTATAGTAAAAACCCATGTAAATGACTGCTAATCGCAACAATGTGTCTGTCTAGCTGATTTTTCTACTGTCAAGTTTTTGATGATAAGATAAAAAGTAAGAGGGCTTCAATAGCGTTGAGTTTAATAGAAAGACAGATGTAGCCAAAAGTAGAAAATAAGACCCAAAAAACAGCCTCAAAATGTTGACGGGTGGGGTAAAGATTCCGATAATTAAGACGGTTGACGGGGGGTTAAGATTTACCTTTCGAGAATCTTTACGGGGGGTGCTTCTGAATTCTGACGGGGGACGGGGGTAAGAATTCCGAGTTGACGAGGGGGTCTTGGGAATTCTCAGCCGGGGGTCAATTTTTTATTCTGACAGGGAGGTGCATTTTTCCTTTATTCTTTTTTATATTACTTTTCTTTGTGATTCAATAAAAAGAAACAAAGTTTGTGACCACATAATTTCAAAATGTTGGATAAATCTTCAGTTGAGGATAAGAAAGTTTAACTGATCATAATGACAGACAAGAAATGAAGAGAGAAAAAAAGATGTAGATCTACACATCGCACGCAAGAGACATTTATACAGTCGAGGTCAAAGTAGAGCTGCGTATCTGGCTATAGAGTAACATATCCAGGACACATATGTGTGCAGTAAGTGGACATGCGTGAGTCTGATCAATGATCAAATAACACCAGAGAGAGCACGCACTGGATCGCATGACTTTTGACGGCATCCAGCGTAGGTGATCACTATGCGCTAGTACAGACATAGTCCTCAATAGTATAGTCCTTTGTCAAATACCCTCTATAAGCGCAAAAGACGGCGGGTCAGGATGGTTTTCATCGAATGTCCAAAGCTTGCCCTGCCAACTGCTTGTACTCTTACCACCATTTAACCGTCTGCCTAGCTCGGAAGATGCCATTCTGTGTTGTTATACGCCCTAGATCCTTGACAAAGCACCGCCTACTGGAGTTACTGGCTCAGTCTCCAGAAGCTGCAGACTCTCGCTCTTCAGGCCCTTACTTGGTGCCTTTATGCATCTTAATAACATAGACATCTGCAGGGAATAGAATAAAAGCTTAGTAACAAAGCTTTTCATGTCTTGACTGTGGATAGAGCTGCTGAAGAGCCCTCCGCTTCGCTTTCACACAGCCTCAGCATACAGCTAAACAAACACACTAAATTAATGAGTCCTAGTACACCGATCTTTAGGGTAAAGCGCAGGCCATAGCAACTAGAAGTTGAGTAAAAAGAAAAATAGATAAATAAAATAATGTCAGCACTATTACAAGTCTTCAGCTTCAATACAAACGTTACATCACTTGGCACTCTCACTGTTACCATTGATGCTTACTTGGAACTTGGCAGCATCTACTTCAATGAGCAAGGAAGGAACAGAAAAGGGTCTCAGCTGACCTCGAGAACCTGGTAATTACAGCATCGAGTAAAGAACGAGCACCTTGAGCACCTTGGTGGCCTTGGGATCTCGAGTATCTTGAGTACCTTGGGCATCTTGATTGGCTTGGGTACTCTAGCTTCTCGAGACTCTAGTATTTAAGCTGACGGCAGTTGGCGACCTTGAGTATTTTATTTTTGACTTGAGGCTTTCCTATGCTCTATATCCAATGTCCCATGTCATTTGTCCTAATGTCCTTTGAGCTATATCCTGTGCACTATGCTCAGAAAAGAGTACGCCAGACGACGTAGCATCAACCGTTGTTGCAGAGTCGCTCATCCACTCATTGAATCCTGCTCAAATGAACTATTTAACAAACAATAGTCAACCAAAATCTTTATGTCTTCAAAGCAGCTCATCATTCGCTTCTGTATTCGAAAAAAAAGACGACTGTGAGGAAGCTTTGTTCTAAGAGATGAAAGAAAGGTGTACATCAACAAGACGAGCCAATGCTTTGTTGAATAAAGAGATTTTTTTTAAAAATAAAGAAATAATTATTACCAAAAGTTGTAAAGAGTGTCAGACTCTTCGCCTGTCTGCAGATAAGCAAACAGCCCAGGACGCACCACGAGGAGGTGGTCTGACTATTGCGTCCCGCTAGTCCCGCAACTCTCTGACAGTCCTACGACCAATCGTCATCGAGTACAAACATTGAGGAGCCTTGTTGAAGCGCTGGGGCAACGTTTTCGCCTGATTCGCACCTGTGGTGGGCCAGAACTACTTGCTGATGCAACGCCGCGGGCAGACGCACCAGGAACTTAAAAAGCGACTGAGTGAGGTGCAAGATTGGTGAGGGAAAAGAGAGGTATTTATACATCTGGTGACTTTTTTATTCATGCGAAACTAAGGAACTTGACAATGGGACTCTTGTTGTCAACAGTGCAAGGCTTTTGGCAAAAAAAGAAAAAGAACGGTAACAACATTAAAGAAGGAAATCGCCAAACCGTCGTTCGTCAAATAAGGTTTGCTTTTATTTGTTGGACGTGTCCCTGAAACCAATTTGTGATTTCAAAGAATTGACTGAATAACAAACACATATTCGGCATTTTGCGCCTTATTCAAGAAGAAGATTAAATAAACTGCGCACCTGTGATATCATTCGTTAATTTTCATATGCTTGCAAAGTGGAGAAAGAAAAAACTCCCACGGGTGAAGGTGAGAATAGCATTAATAACATTCTATCCTCAAAGATATGCAGGGTCATACATACAACAGCCTCCCTTTCCACAACAAGAGCACGAGCCACATTGCTCTCTTTGTATAGTGTACAACAAAGAAAGAAGGAAAAACGGTGAGCAATGTGCTGCAGCTGGAGTAAAAGGACGAGGTTCGGAGCACAGGCTTGTTAGAAACTCGCATACTCCGTTTTTCATCAGCATTAAGCTCAAGTACCTTTTGGCTCTTAGTAATAGGGCCCACCGGGCACTTACCAGCCAAGTTAGCCATTTGACTCTCTTCTCCCATCCTCTCTTCATCCCTAACAAGGAATAGGATAGACTATTCGTGGGAACTTGTACTGCGGCAGTTTTTGTCCGAACAGACTTTTTACAAATAAGCGTTGATACTTTGTTTCCTCATTTTCATTTGAAATGTGACAGATGACATCAAAGGCACGTATTGTTGTTGATATTTTATTGGTCGCTCTTGAGCGTACAGCAAGCAAGGTACTTAGTACATCGCACTTTTGAAATCCAATCAGTTCTCTCTCTTACACATTTTCCATTTTTGTTTTCATACTGTGCCCACAGGTGAAAGAGTATAGAATATACCCTTGCCTATTTAGCCATCATTCTCCCTACATTTCAACCATACCCAGTGAAAAATATTTAGACAGTAGTTATCAGAAGCTAAGATAAGTGAGAATAAGATGTGGGTCCACACACCACATCCATGGGGTATTTATTCATTTTCTGGTAGAGAGACTCGTACCAAGTAACTACATATCTATCTAGAAGCGACATGGGATTATTCAGGAACCATGTCGGTGTTTTGTCGCGTCTCTAGTGACGCGTTATTATTATTATACTTTTCTTAGCGTATTAATTTTAGGAATTCCCCTAGTGTGTTCCTAGTGCGTTTTTAGTATTTTTCTTAATCTTCTAGCTGGGCCGTTATTATCTTGTGTATTGAAATATACAACAGACACTATTGAACGTTATCAGAAGCAATTTAAAGGCTTTATTTGAGGGTGTGTACCCTTTATTATTAAGTGGATCCCAAAAGGTATTACAAATCTTGCTTTGTTACATGGTTTTCCTAATAGATTTGGTTTTGATAAGGACGTTCATCAAGAGAGGAGCATTATGCAGGTCTATTTCTAGCTTGACCCAGAAAGATGGATGTTTATTTTTTATTTTTCCTTCAAAGTATGAATAGTTAATGGATTTGCAGAATAAATGTTTGCTAAAATCCTCTCCGTCCTGGCAGCAAGCAAGGGCGTTATTAAACCTCGCCCAAAAATAAACTTAAGGCTTTGGAGGGCACGAGCCTAAGAATCCATTGCTCAGAAGATAATCTGGTTTTTTTTATTTTTTTTTTATTTGGAAATAGTGCGCTGTGAGAATTGATAGGTAGGTTTTAAGATCCGTTTGCAAAGAGCTTATTGGTTTCATTTGTTTATTGATGGACGACAGAAACTATTAACCACCTTAGTTTTATATCCTCTTTTCTTTCTGGAGGCAACTCATTACTTTCACTGCAGGCAGTGGGGATTTGTTTATTTCTATTATACATATAATTTACATCAGTACAAAATTACAGGATTGCAAACAAAAAGAGGAAGTTGGCACGTGCTTAACGTGCCAACGTTCTTTTTTTTTCTATTTTTTGCCCAAAGAGAATAGACCGCACTTAATGGGCTGATAGCATGTTTGCGTGAGTAAAGTACTTTGGCGGTCTATTCTCTTTATCACCATCATCTTTGTCGCGTCGGCTCTTCTTCTGTGACAATGTTGATGGCTTGCAGCTGCCATGTCCAACCTGCCGACTCTTTTGGCCCTGGCTCTGCTTGTCACTGCTTCCAGATTTATTTTCGCTGGAAGCGCCAGTCCCTTGGATAACTACACCACTCCCAGACCTCGGACGAGGTCCAGGAGCGGGTACAAGTGGTGCAGGGCCTCTAGCCCTACTTTGGGTCAATCTCACTGAGGCTGAGCCTGGTCTAACCTCGTTCAGAGGCCCTCTGCTGACAGCCTCTAATTGTTGGTTCCTTGCCCTAGCCACATTAACCTCCCTTTCCGCCTCCGCAGCCAGTCTATGGGCTCTACTACGGGTCATGTACACCGTAGTGAGGGCTTGCGGTGCTTTTCTCCGTGCGCGCTTTGGCGCCTTCCGGCCAGCAGTAACCTCTGCGTTCTCGCTCTCGTCGTCGTACTCTAAGCGGCGTTTCTTCCCATCTCCCTTGGCAGGCTCTGATGATCCGGCCGTGTCCTTTTGGTTGTTCATATTTCGGGGAGAGAAGAGGGACGGCAAATGAAAATGTTGTATGTGCTGTTACAACAAGGTGAAGCGATGTAAACGACACGTGTAACTTATTATTTATGTACGTGAAAGGAGAAGTATGAACTCGAGCGTATTTATGCCAGAGAAAAATAAGTCAATATATATATATATATATATATACAGTTACGAGGGCTTCTTTTAAAAAAAAAAAAAAAGGAAAAAAAAAAAAAAAGTATACTAGTAGAAAAACAGCACAAGAACAGCGGTTGCTGACGCTTTGCAACAGTTCTTTATGTTTTGAGTGAAAAGTGAAGAAGCAACGAGCTTAAAAAAAAAAGGCAATATAAAAAGGCAGAAAATAAAGTCTGCGCCATCTTACGTCAACCGTGACTACTCAAATGTCCCTTAAACGTACGGAATAATCTAATTGGCAGCCCAAGATGTGGTCAAATAATTGTTTCCTGTCTAGAGTCCTCGCCAAAAAGTCATAAACTGGATATATTTTTCAGGCTTTTAAATTGAATAGAATACTTTCATTTTAAAATTCGTACAAACTCAAAATTTTAATTTTACGGAAGGGGTTTTCAACAAGATATTCCTCCTAAGACTCGCTATCCTCTTTCACATCAAACATGCCTCCAGTATCTGGCGTAAGATCCACTGTTTCAAGAATGCAAGTAAAGTAGGTTGGCAATGAGGATGAGGTTGTCCATCCCCAGCAAATTCTAGTATTTTTAATCAAAAACGACGATTGAATTGATGGCATCCAATTTATTCATTCTATTCAAAAAGTATATGAATTTCTGTCTTCGTACGTAAATTTTTTTGTTCTTCAAATTCTAATTCAAATCGAGTATTTTAAAATATATCCAGTTTATGACTTTTTGGCGAGGACTATTCACATTTTTATTTAGAGGAAGTCCACCAATTAAAAGCGGGTTTTATTAGGAAGACTGAAATGTGCATTATTTGGCTACCCAAGTGTGTGAAGTTAAGTGGCTGCCCCCAAAAAATAGGCTGCCAAATAATATATGGTACCTGGAATGCCAATCAGATTAATCCGGTTATATATGCGTCTGTAGGGCCTTCGAATGTTTTCTTACCTCGCTGATTAACAATTGTCTGCGGCTGCTTTTCATTAACCTGTCATATTCTTTGTAATTGTTTACAGGTTGCAAAGTTGATATCGAAGGCGCCAACTGTCACGTAAATAAATACCCTTCCTGGGGATGAAGCAAATGATCCTTTCCAATTTGGTCTTTCCGCAACCTCAAATAAAGCGAGGGATCCCGCCTTTAGTCTGCCTTTGGATGCAAATAGCACGGAATAGTTGCTATTAGGTGTTGCCTTTTCTCCTCTCTCAAGGTATACTTTTCCACCTGCGGTTAACTTACACTAATGGACTTTGGTGCATAGCAACCGCGCCCCTAGATCGAGGAGGCTACCACCATAATTGTAATACGGCGCCTGCCTTCCTGAGTATTTACATTTCTTGGGTTTGGATAGTTTTTTTTTTTTTTTTTTTTTTTTTTTTAGCGCTTCGTGAGGATAAGACCAATAGTTATTGTCACAAAGGAATGTGTGTAAGGGCGGCGAGGGTATACTATATCTTTCTTTATTATTTTTTAGGTGTCAAGGGCTTCCAAGAATGTGGAAATGAAGAAGTATGGATGTGTATTGATGCTAGTTATTATGAAATGAAGGAATCAAATTAAAAAAAAGCTTTTGTTTTTTTTTGCTGTTGTCCTTGTTCTATTTGAAGTAAATGACGATGATTATTAAAGTCAAGGCTACGAAGGTCAGACCTTTTGTCAATTTTGAGTCCTTTTGTTGACATGTCCTGAATAAAGTCCACGTACAATTATCGTTATTACTATCATTATCGTTTGAGGCGTCGTTACCACCATTGCCGCCAGCGCTGAACTGTAATGCCGATAAGGCCGAGGTAGCGTTGGCTATAGTATTAGTAGTTGTAGTGGTAGCCGCGGGAGAGGAAGAGGAAGCGGCGGACAAAGACGAATCTGTCTGAGATGTCTGAGGTGATGATGGTGGCGCTGGTGGCACTGGTGGCGGTGCTACTCCAAGCAGCTCATACTTGAGAGCCATATTCGCAGGAACCATATACGCAGGATATATCGAAGGAGCCATTTGGAGCGTTATTGCATGGGGAGCTGAATGAGCAACGGAGGCAGAGTCAAGAGGGGTAGGTGCAGCAGTAAGGGTAACAGCAGAAGTAGTATCAGCATTGAGTACACCAATAGGCGGGATCGCAAGAGCAGGAGTAGAAGTAGGAGCAGAGGAGGCCGTAGCTGTAGTTGTACTTGTAAGGACACTTGGCTGAAGATCTATGGCGGTGTTCATCTTGATGGAAGCAGAAGCTGATCTGAGCGTCCTTGAGTCAGGGTCATATAGTATCATGATCCTTGTATGGTGATTATCGGAAGACTCATAAGTCAGTAATGCCTCAGATGCGTGCGAGACTGTAGGGTTGATTCCTTGGATCCCGTGAATGGTGGAGGGAATCATGGGGTCAATTACTGGCATGAAGTATTAATGTATTGTAGGCTTAATAATAGGTCTATAGCAGAGTGAAGCGCGCAAAAACTAAAATGGAAGTGGAGGGGGGGTTGAAGGTACTAATGACTCTCAGAGTTGCGTTTCTTTTCCACGCGTAGTTCCAATCGGTTTGGCTTGTGATCTTTTTTTTTTTTTTTTTTTTTTTTTTTTTAAAAAAAAAGTAAAGGGGATGATGGTGGATGCTTAACAAGTCTTTGTCAGCTTTTATAGAAATAAAATTCTCTCTATCCCTTGCTATGAAAGGCAAAAAAAAAAAAAAAAAAAAAATTACCATCGTTCCTTTCTTCGTTTATTTTTGACACACCTTATTGTTTTGTGCTAGGAATTTCCCCACGATCGATGCTTAATGCACAAATGCACCAGTGCACTAATGCATTGAGGAAATTGTCTATCCCATGATCGACTCGATATGCAGTAACAGGCAGGAAAAAACGCCTTTTTAAAAAGGAACGTTAATGCATCGCACAGCCACCCTAGTCTAACTATTAAAAAGTGTCTTATTCGCTTTGTATATTCTCGGTCACTCCCACCCAGTACTAACGGCTTTTTTTTTCTATGCTTTTTTAAACGTCTTGGTTATCTTCCTCTTGACACGAAAAAATATAATCAGCCACGCTACACTCGTTTCAATATCCTTACTATAATATGATCTTATTAGTTTGACAAAGAAAGTAAAAGAAGTGACATTTCATTGACTAAGAAATTATCCAAAATGGCATTTATCGCGAGCAATAGCATTGCGACAGTCAGTAAAACATATTTTATGTCAACGCATTAAACTGATTGATCCTCCAAGTAAGTTCTATTCCATTTTATTGCTCGTTGTTTATTTATTTATTTATTTTTTAATGCAAAAAAGTCATGTTGTAGAATGGGCACAAAGTAGGTGCGCAAAACATTGTGGTTTCTATTTTCTTTTTCTTTTTTTTTTTACCCCAATAGAGGAGCAGCCTCGCCAGTGTTATGACCGATCAAACGGAAGACGAGGGGCTTCAAAGTATAAGCAACAACAGCAATGCCTAAACCAAGTGACGTCCAGTGAATGGCAGGCACTTCATCCTGTTGAGCAAAAACGCCAAACAAGTACCAGGCCAAAACCAAAGCAGCAGCTAAATTGAAAAAAAAAAAGAAAAAAAAAAAAAGTAAAGCAGATCAATCAGTAGTTATCGACATCTAAAAGGTTGTAAGGGGTTTTTTTTTTTTTTTTTTTTTTCACTGAAATATTCACCAAGCATAATACAAGTTATTCCAAGTTCAAAGGGCATACCAACATCTCCTTGCTTGTATTCAATATATCCGATGACAGTCGATGAAATAAAGACAAGGCCAACAATTGCAAGGACAATCTGGAAGACCGAAGGACCGTCTTCATGAACAGGTGAGAAGACTGCGAAGGCATTGATAATCAAAAGAACAAAGATCCAGGCATGGTAGAGCGAAAATGGAAGATGCAAGAAAAATACATCTAAAAGCGTATCTGCTGACTCCTGTTCCTTTAAACGATGGTAAATGAAGGCCACAGCTGCTGTGGCGAAGAACAGTGCAATCAAAGCCAAAAAGGTGTGGCCCGAAGACTAGCGTTGAAACAAAAAAATATAAATGGGGATGCAGGTTAGCTATCTCTTGTCTGAATCCCAACATCTTTATTTTTGTTCACCATTTCATCACTTCTGTTAGAGACCGATTTCCAATAAATGCTTGAAAAAAGACCAGCAAAAAAAATAAAAAATAAATAAAGGTTTTTTCGACCTTGATTGTTTTTACTACAGTAGAAAAATCCGAAGAGAGAATTGAAATAAATAAGGTTTTTTTTTTTTTTTTTTTTTTTTTTTTTCTTTCTACATACCCAGAGTGCTAACCAGAAAGCATTAAAGACAGTAGCTGCGACGAAGTGCCATCCAACAGCTTGATGAACTTTATCTGTGAACCATTGGTAAACAATCATTCCTCCAAGCAAGAAATGAATCAATGTCCAAATGTAAAAAGTGAATGAGGCTGGTGTAATATAGGACCTGTGTTTTGAATCATATGGTGAATCTGTGTCAGGGTCGCCTCCAAAGGTCGAGTACAAATTGCCGGAGAGCAATGTCACATAGACAAGAATGTTGGCAGTCTTGGAAGGCCAGTGATGGAATTCGATGGCCATTTTGTTTTGAATGCGGATTGAGTAATTAATGTAAAGGAAAAAGAGTGAAAAAAGAAGGAAGAGAGAAGTAACATGTAGTCAAAGATAGAAAACTGCGTCATGTGGGACGCTTTGTACAATTGAACGGACAATTGTTGGAAGACTGTATGCCATAAACCTTACTCTGCATTTTTGGATGAAGATGAATTTGATCTATTTTGTCTTTTTTGCGTTAGTCCATCCGTTCGAAGACAGACACAAACATTCACAATATAAACCCCATGAATGTACAGTGCATATAAACATATGAATGGCACTTGGTATCGTAATGATTTATCAACAAAACATTCTTTCGCATAAACATGCTACTTGTGAATACGGACCCAGCGACCATTCAAGTGGTCTGTATGGAATGATATGCGCAAATTTATATTCGCTTCAGGTGCCGTACTTGCCCTGACAGTCTTTGATTGATTGACTGTTGTTGATAATGTCAATGAGACTGAATCTACTGGTAAACCTTGGCGATGGTCACTGTCATGCACTTGACTGAAGATTACCTTGGGCCTGGATGCCACTGATGGCGTCGATACAATCTGACTATTTCCCTCATTATAATTGGGTGAGGAACGTGTTCAACTATAGCTCCAAGCTCAACAAGGAGCTTCCTACTGGCCTTATTCACCTCAAATAAACGTTCAATGCACGCGTTGGCAGCATGGAGAGTGGTTTTCAGCGTGCTCCCTCTACAGTCTCTCACATCCGAACGGGGGCAGCTTGGGATCCTATTACCAAAAAGTGTCCTCATCAGAGACATCCCTTACAAGGGGTATGAATACGCTCAGCTGAAAATGAGACGACAACAAAGCACTGGCACCCAACGGATATAGGGAACACCTCAAGGTAATAGATAAATAAATAAAATCCTAAATGCACTTTTAGATCATATTCACCGCCAAACCCACATATCTACGTAGGGATCGCACTCATCATCATTAACGTAACAGAGGCATAGGGTAAAAAGGGTGCTTGAAGCATTTAACTTAACATACTGACCCATCTTCCCTTCGCGTTTTGTGGCAAACACAGTCAACCAGGACATGCATATCCGAGCATACATCCAAGCAGTTCATTAGCAGATTTTAGAGTAGCGATATCGAACAAAGAATGGGATTTAACAGAGGCAGTGCACAGCCTTACCTAATATGGAGGTGCCCAGAGCCAACCGCACACAAATAATTCATTGCAATGGCTTAGACAGTAATCTCTTAAAACTGACAAGTTGCAGTAGCCAATCAATCCTCCAGCCAAAGTGAACAATCAACAACTGCCACCACACGTTTTCTTTTCGATTCACCTTCGCCCAATCATTGTTCCATCTTGACACTTCTGTTTGTGCTCATCTCATCACTCATCACTCATCACTCATCACACCACTTTCATTCTCCCCTCCTTTTTCTCTTTCTTTTTTCTTTTTCCTTTGCAAAACAACAACAATGCTCGCTCAACGACGCTTGGTGGCTACAGCGCAGTTTATGGTCAAGACCTCTCCTTTGGGAACTGGAGCGCAGCAGCCATTGAGGCGCCCCTATTCTGCCTCCACCCCTACCTCTATCTTTGGCTCGACCTTTCACTCAGCCCCTGCACAGTCAACTTGGATGCGGTCCTTGCTTCAGACTCGATCAATCTCGACGCCCCGATCAAATGGATCAACAGTTTTAGCTTCACCGAAACCTTTTGTAACAACAACAAAAGCAGGGACAGCAGTATCGCCATCATTAGTAGCAACTGCAAAAGCATTCACCGCGCAACGATCAAATGGAACATCATCACCATCGTCCTCTTCTTCATCATTCTTCTTTACAAGGAAATACACTTCTCCTTCTTCTTCATCTCCTTCGCCCTCAAACATGGCAGTCGCAACTGCTACAGCCACTACCAATGCAGCATCATCTACAGTCGTATCAAAAACTTTAAAGAAGCCGTTGTCATTTCATGAAGAGATGACTAAAGACCGTTTTAGCTTTAATTGGTGGAAGGAATGGACCATTATCATGGTAAAAAAAAAAAAAAAAAAAAAAAAAAAGATTTATTATCTCCCCTTACTAAAAGAACAAATAATTGTGTAACTGAAAAAAAAAAAAAAAGCATCTCATCTAATCTGATATCAATCTGCATGTTTGTTTCTTTTTACACGTTACAGGGTGTCTTTGCTGTTACGGGCAGCTCCACAGTTATAGTTGTCAGACCACTTCTCAATGATGGTAGGATTTGATAGCATTGCACGAAATATGATATATTTCAGCATACTTGTCAATCAAGCGCCCATTTATTCAATTTTCACTCAATTCTTTATTTTTTTTATTTTTTGGATGTCTAGTGTTCAAGCTGAAGGGTTCGATGAGAGAAGGTCCTTGGTCCTTCAGGATTGCCTATCTCTCCACCACTTTGCCTCTTTACAGTTGTGTTCTTCTTACAATTGCATCTCTTGTTGGTCGTCGTCCTTATTTCAAAATGGTGGTAATGAGAATGTGGGGGCGTTTTTTGCCAAAGAAGGTTATCCAGCGCTTTCAATAACTAATCACATACCTTGGCATACACGATGCAGTGACAAAATAACCAGCATTAAGCAAAAAAAAAAAAGAAAAAAAAAAAAAGACATAGACAAGTTATTATCTTCATCTACATCATTCAGTTCTTCATAGATAGAGAGATGATTCTTTTTATAGAGTTCCACTTTTAATGAAAAGAAAATAAAAAAGATGCTTTATATTTAGGTGATTAAATGTCTTTATAATGGAAGGAGTAGACCAAAACTCAAGTCTCTTGTATCAGCATAGGGTAGCAATATTCTTCTTTTTTCGATTTTTTTTTTTTTTTTTTTTTTTTTTTTTTTAAATCTTATAGATGACACCCTCGCTAAACATCAGCTTGTTATCGTCGTTCATCTTGTTCAGGATGGCTTTTGCCTCTGCTGGACCAAATAACTCGTCAATCTCAAGTCCACCGTTGACTGCTGCTAACAGTGTCTCAAACTCATGACTGTCATCCAAGCTACTCATGATCAGCCTATTTGTTCTTGCTTGGAACAACTCCTGTCTGCTAGGATGGATTGGACCTCCTGGCACATATTGTCCTGCACCAGATCCAGATCCAATAGAGGAGCTTTGTGCAGGCGTACTGGAAGATCCTTGAGAACGACGAGACAACCTACGCGTCGTCTGCAATTCCTCTTCAATTTCATAATCACCATCAATGTCCATCATCTGCATATCCTGCACCAAGGAAGCAGAGCCATGAACAGATGTTTTGCCCTTGGAGTTTTGACTTGCCCTGCCTTGTGATCTTCTCTGCGATGATCCTGGCTGTGGTTGTTGATCATCATCGTCGCTCTCATCGCTGTCAGATTCGCCAAAAGGTCTATCAAGTCGAACTCGCTTGCTACGAGACTTCTTCTTGGGCGCCTCCTTGAATAATGAGAACCTAAGAATGTCAATGGCGGCCACTGCGTCCTTATCCTGCACAAAGTTTGACAAACGCGCCTTAGCATGTGCTGTTGCAATACGAATAAGCGTCTCTAATGTACGGGCGGTAGCAGGGGCGACCTAAAAATTGATTTTTTTTTTTTTTTTTTTTTTTTTTAAAAAAAAGAAGTTGTTTATAAACTATGTTTGTTCTTTCTTTTTGGACAAATAGAACCTAACAGCCTGTAAGGGTATTGATCGTCAATAAATAGTATACCTTTTGATTGTCCTCATCCGCCTTGTTGCGGATTTCGGTATAGGCGTTCGAGATTTTGTCAGCGGCTGCCTGTGTAAGTGCAGGCTTAATCCTTGATTTGGCATATTGGATGTACTTTTTAAGGAAGGGCATCGATAAGATATTCTTTTGTGAGCTCTTACTCTGGATCCCTCCATGGATCAGCTCGTTATACTTTTCATAGACGGGCGCATCCTTCGCAGCATTCTCATCATCACCACCAACGTCCAAATTCTGAGAGCTAATATCGGGAATAGGGGCACCTATATTGATTTAATAAAAAGTAAATTAAAACGGTCACCATGCTTGGATATTGAAATATTTTGATATCAAGAGATCTTTTTTTTTTTTTTTTTTTTTTTTTTTTTTTTTTTCTTGACTCTAATAATCCTACCTTCCTCAACACCAGCGGGGACATAGCGATGCATTCGCAGAATGTGCTCCGAGATTTGCCTGTCGCGAACTTCATTGGGCTTGTCCGTGACTACAAACAACAAGTCGAAACGTGACAACAACGAGTCAGGCAGAGCGATGTTACGATGGGCTGGAATGGCCTCATCATATTGTCCGTAGATCGGATTGGCTGCAGCGATGACACTGCAGCGGGCATTCAGTGAAGTATGGATTCCAGCCTTGGCAATCGTGACAGTTTGTTGCTCCATGACTTCGTGAATAGCCACTCTGTCAATGTCTGACATCTTGTCAAACTCATCAATGCAGACAATACCCCTATCTGCCAAGACCATGGCTCCAGCCTCCAGTTTACGCTCTCCAGTCTCTTTGTCTGTGGTCACCGCTGCAGTCAAACCAACGCCTGATGATCCACGTCCAGTCGTGGCAATAGCCAGAGGAGCAGTGTTGAGAACAAATCGAAGGATTTGTGACTTTGCAGTAGAAGGATCGCCAACCATGAGGATATTGATATCTCTAAAGGAGGATATATAAAAGTGAGTAAGCATGAATTTTCAACCCGGCTGAAATAACTTTTTTTTTTTTTTTTTTTTTTTTTACTTTTCAAGTGACTTACCCTCTAATATGGGTGCCATTAGTCAAGTTCTTCTCCATGCCTCCAAGCAACATTAAAAATACGGCCTTTTTGATATATTCGTGCCCATAGATCGAAGGTGCAAGAGAATTGGACAAGATATCAAATGCCTTCTTCTTCTTTGCAATCATTTTGATATTCTGAATATCGGTGTCGGTGATAATTGGTTGGACGATTCCATTGCCAGCCTTTCCAGCAAACGTTGTGATATAGTTGGCGAGGATTACAGTTCTATAACATATTAAGATGTAAAAAAAAAAAAAAAAAAAAAAAAAAAAAATAGAGTTGGATATGGGTTAATAACACAAGATCTTGAAAAAAAAAAAAAAAAAAAAAAAAAAAAAAAGCACTTATTTCTATCCCTCAAACATGTTGCGCAATTCATACTTGAAAGTAGAGGATGTCGACTTTGCGTCTCTGCTTCCCAGAGTCCTGTAAACACCCACAACTTGGACTCTATCTCCGGGTTTCACCTTGTCCACCAGATCATCATCCAACAGTACATCAATGCTACGAGGCAATTGACCAGCAGGTGCGCGCTCGGGCATTTCCTGAATCGAGATACTCTGGTGGTCACGATAGGTAGACATGCCAAATTCTGTTTCCAAGGGATTGCCATCATCATCCTGCTGCAAATAAGAAGCTCCAGTAGGCAATTCGTTTGTCATCATGGTCCCATCAATGTATTTCTTCTCGTGAAAGTTTTCTGTTTTGGGACAATAATGAACACTGTGAACGACCTTGGGTCTGACCAATCCACCTACGGAATTGCAACGCAGGGAAATCATGGATGAGTTGGGGCATGATATCAACCTCCTTGCATACAAAGGCGGCAACCATAACAAAAAAAGAAATTTGCAAGCATGCTCATAGACTTACAGCGGGTAACGATACCCTCCAGACAAACAAGCTTTCCAAGATGTTTGGCACGCAATGTACGAGGGTTGACATGGTGGTCTCCGAAACTACCTTTGATTCCAATGTACAAAACTCTGTCACCACTAATATCGGGTTTAATAGTCTCTGCGATCTCCATTAATGCTTGCGTAAATGCCGGGATATATTCCATAGGTGAGTTCATCAACCTATTCATGGTCGCCGGACATTAGAAAAGACAGGGAGTTAAAAAAACGTAATGATACTTGATCAGTAGCAAGTAAAGAAATAAAAAATAAATAAAATATAAAATAAAATAAAAACGCACTTTGTGGTTTCCTCGATGCTGTGGTCTCTGAGACGGTCCAAGCTAACAACCAGACGCTTCGTGCCTGTTTCGAGCATGCTGCGGATCTCATTCTTGTACTCATTTACACCATGCTATGTTAATCAATTTTTTTTTTCCCTCTTTTCATTAGTTTGGGTTCATTTGGCGGCAAATGATAAAAAAAAAAAAAGTGAGAAAGCTTCTAACATACGTCGCTATCCAGAAAGTTAACAAATTGATTCACACGCTCTTTTGCGATCTCGTCTGCGATTCTAGCGGCCATGGCTGGATGAGTTGAAGAAGAAATGAGGGATGATGGAAAGCCCCACTATCGACTAGCCTTGGAATGACTTGCTCGACCTCGGTAAGACCTCCCCTTTCAGGGACGCGTTTTAATTTAAATTTTTGTTTATTGATAGAGAAAAGCCCTTAAGGAAAGGACTGTTTTTTTTTTTTTTTTTTTTTTAAGAAGAGGAGCGCATGCATTGATCCACAGAACGCGCAGACAAACAGAGACTCTAGAAGCATTTCAGATTTTGTCTTATCGATGGAAGCAAGACATGATTATTGAGAAAACAAACAGTGTTGTAAAATGTATAATATGATGCATGGATGGATTGAAGGTAAACCTTTTTTTTTTTTTTTTTTTTTTTTTTTTTTTTCATTTTACACTCGTAGTATATGACATCTGTGTGTACAAGTAAAGAAGACAAGGTCTACTACTGTACGACTGATCGAAGAGAACTCTCCAATGCACTGCCACATGGAATGTGGAAACTGTCAATTCATGAAAAAAAAAGGCTGCTGCCAATTCTTTGTAAGATATGCATGCACATCTTTTCTTTGAAAAGATTGTTTTTGAAAGGACCTGAAGGTTTTGTGTTTTAATGCATGAGCACCGGTTATATTACTAAAATGTCAAAAATATTGACATGGCATGCACATCTATTCAGCTGACTCTTTTTATGATTAATTTTAAAATACCATTTTTAATCGATCAGGAGTGTACATTTACACCATGAACCCATTCGAGGGGCAGTCTAGTCCTCTGTTTGTACCTTTGTAACTCAGTTCATCGCTCTCCATCATTCTTTCTCCATTCTTCTCTGTCTAATCCGTGCACATGCACATGCACATGCAAATGCTTATCCATTACAATCCTCCTTTGCAACTCCTGTGTCTCTGACGACCAACCCTTTTTTTTTTTTTTTTTTTTTTTTCCTCTTTTCCTTCTTCCATTTTCTATCCTCTCCTCATATTCTCAATACATACCACCGTTGTAATATAGTTCAATAGCACATCTCTCTTAGACAAACGTATCCAAATAGACAATCAACAATGGGTATCATTGATCCTCTCTGTGTTGCTTCTGATGGGGCCACGCTTTTCGCACTGATCCTCGAACCTCATACAAACACCAACATGCCATATTATTACGTTATCATCAAATCCAACAGCAACCCCTCCCCCAATCTTAACGATCTCCAATGGACCCCTGTCTCTGAAAGGAAGATTTCCACCTTGAGTCAATTAACAGGGGAGGCCAAGGCCAATGAATTTGTTTGTGCAGTAGACGGAGGACAATTTTCAATCCTCTCAACCCGTGGCAAACCTGTAACACTAGTTGCTGCTACATTCCGTAGTGGGCCAATTGGAATCCAGTATTCGCCTGTTGGTGGATATGACAACGCGAACCCTACCCTGGATGAATGGCGGGAGATGACTATAGGAGAGACTTACTATTGGAATAAGAGTTACGGCAGTCAACTTTTTTATTTCAAATCCTCTCTTGATGGGTCTCCGACACTAATGCATGTGACAGCTGATGGTCCCAATGGTACCCGTCTATCCAGATATTCGAATCCATCAATAGAACAGAATTCACAACCCTGGCACCTGGTGAGTTACTGGTTCTTTTTTTTTTTTTTTTTTTTTTCCTCTGCCTTACTTCTCTTCCTTTCTATTCCCACTTTTCTTCCTGCCTATACACCAAAACGACTAAAAAATGACAATAACGATATTCTATTCCCCGACAAATGTCACAATTTCACTGACCAAAAAAAGAATTGAACATCCCTTGATGTGTATAGCCAAACGATACTATTAGAGATGCCCAAACAGTCGGGGTCGCTCAGAATACGCTATTTATATTTAACAGCAATAACCTCGCAGGTACTATATCAGCTTTGACCCTCACCAACGCATCCGCTACCGATCTCCCATTGTCGAATGCAGTCATTCATGATGCATCCGCTGTTTTGAAAGGCTGCAGTACTTTTATGGGCACCAGAGTCTTGACATATGGAAGTGATATCGTCATTTTATGCAAGGTATGCGATATGCATTCCATATGTAGAGTATAAAGAGATAAAAAGGAAAAAAAAAGAAAAAAAAAAAAAAAAGCTTTGGATGTACGAAGTGATCATCTACTTTCCCCCCTTTCTTTTGGTAACTTACAATTTCCTATTGGTTGATTTTCAACAGAATCCTTCGTTAGGTTACAAAACTGATGTGTGGCATTTCAATGGAAAAGAGTTTAGTCAAATCGCTTCAGGGATTCAGGCAGCACCAGAACCCAGATCTATGGCCATTGTTGGACTATCTGCATCACCCCCCAACCCATTCATCTTTATGCATGATATATCAGGCGTCTACAGCATACCTTTAAGTGGCAGTCGGAAAGGAGAGTGGATCTCTGGATTATATAGAGTGAATATCTCAGGTTATGGGCCAGAATATCAAAATGATGAATCCGATAATGGCGGATCATCAGCCAATCGTATCGCCATCATCATTGCTATGCCTGCACTATTAGTAATCGGCATTGCATTGGGATGGATGCGTTTTTACTATAATCGAAAGCTTTCTGCGGAGAAAAGTAAATTGCAACAGTTATCACAAGGGCAGCAACAGCCGCAAAACCATGATGGATATCCACAGGAATATAAACATCAAACCAACAATCTCAACTGGGATGGAAAAGCGCCTGGGCCTCAAGGAGGGGAGTTGTATATGGAGCTAAAGTGCGATGGGCCTTTCACACCATGGTCAAGCACAGATCAACTACCCAGACATGTAGCAGCAGAGTCAACCTCAAGCCAAAAATCAGGAGGATCGAATGATTCGCCATCAATTACTGGGCTGCCATTATCACAGCCAAGGAAACAATATAGTCGATCACAATCGAGTTTTATGGCTATGCGTAAATGGCTTACTCCACCTCCTCGTTCCAAGTCATTCTCCACGACCTCCACCATATCAAACACGATTTCATCTGGAGTCAATGATCTGAACTCGAGCAGTTCCAAGCGAAAAGTTGGAAATGGTGAGACCTTGTCAACAAAGTGGTTTACATCAGATATGATTGAAGGCACATCATCATATAATTCCACGTCCACACTAGCAGGAGATAGCTACTCTGCTGCTAGTACACCAGTCTTTTCAACTCTCACGTCCGCCGCCCCTCCTATGAGCGTCATTACTATACCTTCATATTTTTCGCGGCCAAATACAGCAGGATCGGCAGCAGATTACGGATTTTTCTTACTCAGCGACCGACAAGTGCATAGCCCTCATGCGATCATAGAGGAAGGAACCCTTGCATCAGTAATACCAGCAACAACACTAATATCGACGTCAACTTCAATATCAACGTCAAAGTCACCATTAACCCAGGATGAATATCATGATACCCAAGCAGAAGAACGGCATGCGTATGCACAGTCAACTACTATACCGCCATCCCGACCTAGTACGCGTTCATATCCGGAAATGGACCCTGAGATGATACCCCCTACAATGCCCAATAGTCCACACGTAAACGTGCCGCCAATAGAGATCCAGTCTTGGTCATTGTCTGCATCTGCTTCTATCTCTGTCCCTGTTCCTGTGGACGACCAGAAACCAAAGGAAGATGAGGATCAAATTACAAAATAAATCCTAAAAATAATCAAGGCAAATCTTAATTCAAGAACCCAAAAAATTCATTTGTTGCATAAGAAAACTGTTGGACGATCTAGAGTGAGAGTTTATTGACTTCAAGCCAAAGATAAAGAGAGAAATAAGGTGTCATTGATTTGACTGTGTATGTACTGCAGAGATCTGAGCCTGAAGAGAAAGGGCGTGATGTTCCAATTTCCAGCACGTGCTGGAAGAAAACGAGCACAAACTTGTCGCTCATACAGTACAAACCTATTGCCCAAACAGCGCGAACCTCTGAGTCGCATTCAATTTTTTTAGATAGCGAAGACGACAAAGGAAGTCTTACGCTCATTATCCGTACCAGCGACCCTTTCCTGTAGGCTCGGTGCCATCCTGTCTGCAAAGCGGCAAGCCACGTATCATCGTTCCATAAATGGAAAGCGGGCTCTTTACTTTGTACAGTGGAATCTCGATAATTGTACACTTTTGTACAATTTTCGAATTTGCTATATTTCTCGGTTATTGATTGGCTAAGAAGCCCACAATTCATGAAAAACTATTCTAAAAATCCTCTGCTGATTCCTCTACTCCAGTTGAGTGTGGGTTTTTTAGAATACTTTTTTTTAAAAGAGTAAGGCTCTTAGCCAACCAATGGCCTAGAAATATATCAAATTTGAAATTTGTACAAAAGTGTACAATTATCGAGATTCCACTGTAGACAGGCTGGTCTCATTTCGAAATTTTTTGAGTGAGCGCTCAAAAAGGAAGTGTAATAATTTTTAGAATATGTGATTTAATTCAGTCGGCAGACCTCACGTACGTGTATTTTTTTTTTTTTTATCTATTGACATGAGAGTCCTTTCGAATTAACTTTTTTCTAATGAAAGTTGGTAGTCAAACATGGCAGTCAGTGGTATTTATTATATAATGTATACTCAGTCTACATAGCTTTGATCTGTAATTAGTAGATGTGATAGCAGCCGGTCAGAAGCATAGCCATTTTAGATGGCCTGATGGCAAAGTAAAAATAAAAGTATCCTCCAAAAATGCTTTCAATTGTTGCGTCCTGAGGTTGCTTGAGGCGCCCTGAGGTACTTCATAATACCGCAATATTTAATAGCGGCTCAATATTAGATCCTATCATGAAACAATTGTGCATATTTCACAGTACGCGTAGCCTCATGGCAAAGGTATACGACTAGCCTAGGAAAGCTGCTAATAAAAAACTAGATAAAAAACACCGAAAAGCAATAATGCCCTAGTCTCTAAAGCACTCGCAAGTATAACCAAGGAAGTTACGAATAGCGAAAGCAGGACCTAGTGTCAATGACACGCTATGTAACTGTTACGTCCTGGAGCTTGGGGTGCACCCAAAGGTTCCAATCTAGTTATATACATATACCTACAACATGAGCAGAATGGGCCTATGTTGTTCCCAAGGTAGACTTACGGATATTTGATGAACAAAAAAAGGAATAAATGCCTCATGGGAATGGTGTGTGGATCCACATCTCACCTCATCAAACTCCTCAGCAATAATACACACTCTATTCTCGCTTTCACCATCAAACATTTTATCCACAATAAAAGCATTCAAACACTTCCCACGATCTCTATCTGAACATCTTTTTCAATGTCCCATCAAAACCAAATGGCTCACTTCCAAGCTTACCAGCCTATCTATGCTGACTCTGAAGGCATTGTTCTTGGGCTACTAAATACAGTATTCAGACAAGGCCAACAAGGCTATATATCGCTTGTAGATTTCTTGCTAGTGCTTCTAACGAGTGAGAACACTGAGATAAAGAGACGAACAGGACTACTCCTTTTATCCAGGAAAATCCCTACCATTGTGTCGTTAATCTTCCAAAAGTGCAAGAATAAAAGAGGATTGTTGCTGCGAACAGAGGAATATTTTCATCGGGAAATAGTCGGCGAACTCGACACTCTGAGCAAATCGAAAGAGTTGCAGACTAGCCCAACACACACCCACTTGAATATATTTGACAACTTTTCCCTGAATCTATATTCTGAGTTGATGGTTCAACGGTCACCAATGCTGTCAAGGCTCCTACACTCAGTACTGGATGGAAAAGCTTTGGCTATTTCAACGATTGGCAGCATTATGACGAGATACACCAATTCCCGCTGCAATCTGTATCAAAAGGTTATGGGGACATACCTCTTCAGCAACGGAACCAGTCGTAAGACGATGGAAGCTTTATCTCACGCCGAACTTTCAGTGTCATACTCTACTGTCATGAGGATATTGCGACAACTAACTGTAAACGCATTGGCCGATGTCCGAGCTGTAGCCGCAAACAAAAGCTGGTACATTGTGTATGATAATTTGAACTTTCGCCGAGTTAAGCATGACCAGAGGTTAGACAACAGGGACAATTTTGTAAGCGGCACCACAGCCACCCTTATCCAGTGTGATCCTACTAATGGCGCGTTCAACCAAGGCTCATATGAACGGCTCTGCTTTAAGGACTTGATTATCAATCGAGATAATGATGCCCATTTCCAGGAGGTAGCTACTTATCATCTCATCAACGTGCTTAAGAGGCATTACGAGGCATTCAAGAGTCTCCAAAACGATGCTCCAGTCAAGAACTTACTTCCGGCCAAAAAATCCGAGACGTTTCCCTTGCCTTCGATGGATATCAATGAGTCAACTACGGAGGGCAACAAGGATGTTATTAACACAATCATCAACAACACCCTCCAACTTCCAAGAGAATGGTTCAACAGCGAAAGACATATAGTGGTCGCAGGAGATCAACTCACAATCAAAAACATTCGATCTCTGTTAAAGTATCGTCGGGACCATTATACACATTATAGCCGGCTAGAGTGGGTGATCCCCTTGATTCAATTGTTCCACTTACAAATGGTATTTGCTGCTACCATTCTACGTACATATTATGGGTCAATCACAACACCTGGATCACTTGCACATTTCGCGGAAAAGTTACGTCGAAAGAGGATAAGCTTGGAAAAGCTGGATTTCCATGCTGTCAACGAACTGATTCACCAAGTGTTCGAAGCTGTAGCATGGAGAGCATGGAGAGTGGTGATGAAGAGCAGCCGTGGAGAGTCATCAGCGGAATATGCTAGCAGGAAGGCAAACGAGATTTTTGAAAAATTTGTATGTGGAACTAACTCCTTCCTTAACGATAATAATAAGGTGTCATTTAATGGATCGCTGCTCTTCCGAGACATGATGCTTTATGTCGAATTATCCCATGCTATCAGGTCTGGCGACATTGGTCGAATCGAAGAGGTCATAAAGTGGCTGACTATAATGTTTCAAGCAGGCTGTACCAAAAACTACGCACATGAGCTTATCCATCTCCAATGTGGTCTCCAGTATGCATGGCCTAAAGAAACCAAGAATGCCATTATGTCGACGTGGCTAGTAAACACAAGCGGACGCCCAATGGGCTTTATCCCCGCCGACTTGTACCAAGAACACAACAATCTGCTAATAAAAGTTATTCATGCCGCCAAAGGACACAACGCGTCAATGGACTTCATTGCTAACTCCATATCAACCAACATTGAAGCATTCAAACGAACCTCAATTCTAATGGAAACAGAGTACAAAGTCGCCCGAAACCGAACATACCACAAGTCCGTCAAATTCATTGATGATGTGACGAGCGTTTTGGAGACACTAGAGGATATTAAACTATTCTCCAAGGAATCAAAGCCCACAGTTGAAGCCAAAACGAAGCGCTGCATAGACCGTTTCAATGATGGCGTTGCAGTACTTTCCGAGGGGAAACGTTTAGAGGCCATAAAGCAGAAAAACATGAGCCTTGATCACAATACCGAAAACTCACTGGATCCGTTTTCTCTTGAAGTTGATTTGACAGACGTAGACACCGACGAAATTGATCTCTTGACAGACCCTGCTGGGAATGAAGTCGGAGATTGTCCGATTTTTTGGGAAGATACCTTTGCAGAATAATACCTTTGTATATAGTATAATTAAATAAATATATATTTTTGGGTGCAGAAGTTCACTTCTATCGAGTATAGTTAATTGGTGTCTATAGCTCCTTCCATTCACATGTTTATTATATTTATGTGGATATATTTTGCTATTGATAATTTATGTGTTTGTTACTTGGTATTACTGATTATATTCTTCTTCTCTTATACAGCCTGCTTTCGTTCCTCGCCTTGCTTACAAGTCCTAAAAGGTGATCAAAGATGTTTTTGATGTCCAACCATGACTCTTCCCACTTAATATTCTTCATAACGGTATGATTAAGAGGCGATAGATGAAAAGATGATGACGCTGATGACGATTTTTGTAAACATTCTACAAAATGCCACTCACTCCCATCTGTTACGATTCCATACGTTGTAATGTCTTGTCCTTGGTCTGAATCTTTACTGCGCTTACATTTTCGGCCTGTGGTTTGCGATTCGAGTTGCATCATATTTTCTGCGACAGCCGCCTTGAAATCCTTATTTTGTACTTTCGTCACGCACAAAGAACAAAAAGCTTCATCATTCTTGGATTTAATACCGTACCACACCTTTCCTCGGCCAAGTCTTCCTCTAATTTCCTCTCCCGAACTGAGCTTTAAATCATCCGCGAATAATGTGACAGCATGGACAAGCATAGGTTCAACAATCTTCAACATTCCTTCATCACTATCAAGCAATGAGCACTTCTTCCTTGATTCGATTTCGTCTTGTAGTCGTTTAATCGCGTGGTCGTGCTCAGCCGTGCCTCCAGTATTGATGGGGATCCCTTCAAGTGGTTGTATTTCAGTCAAACTTGGGTCTGACGCGTCGGTAAATCCAAAGAAGCTGTTAACATCCTTCAGTGTGTAGTCAGAAAACGGTTTATCAGGGTAGCTGATCTCAACTAGAATATCCTGTGCTGAATTATAAATGACCTTTAAGGCCTGCTGAAGCAATTGATCTGTTGGGTTTTCTACTTCGAGAAGTTGGCCGTCACAATCCTTGTATTTGATGGTAATAATTTCTGAACCAAAGAGAAGATCAGGAAAGTTGCCTCTAATTTTCTCCTTTAACCTTTCCATGGTTGCTTTGTCCGTGTCTATAGTTGAGACAAACTTCTTGTTGTTAAATGACTCAAGAACAATATTGAATCTCCCGATACTTGAGCATACTAAATTAATAAAATTATGATGAGTAACCGGCCAATGTTTAAATGATTTCCACCATGACTATCAATACTCAATACTAACCTTTCTTCGGCGGCTGGACGAGAACACGAATCGTTTCTCCTGATGCTTCTTTTCCAAACGCTTCAGAAAGTGTTGATGTAGGTAAAAGCCTCTTTTTGCTTGGGACATTATCGAGAACGATTGGAGTATCATCAGCATCTTGGAAGATTGGTATCGAGACTTGCCAGAGGGCAAGCGTGTTAGCAGCAACATTGTCAAATTCAGGTGCTTTCTTTTTCTTGAGCTCATCCCTGAGAGCATTCACTGTGAGGTTTGAAGGGAGCTCAATGGAAAAGGCGTTGTAAAGGCTTTCGCCTTCCTTGACGCAAAACAGTGTTAGTGGAGTAGTCATAATGTGTAAAGATGTAACGAAGCAAGAGTTTTAATCAACAAAGAGAAGGGAGCCATGTCCATCAACCTAGAAATTCTAGAACGTTTTTCAAAAGCCACATTTTTTTTTTTTTTTTTTGACGCCAAAGCTCGGGTCACAAAAACCACATCGATTTGTAATCCATTGCGAGCGACACCCAACAATTTGTAATGCAGTAGGCCAAACATGCAGAATTCAACTCTTTATCTTCCTCATTCTCACCTTTTCATTCCATTATGGCTACTCAGCTAACACTGTATTGTGTCAAGGAAGGCGAAAGCCTTTACGACGCCTTCCCTATCGAGCTCTCTTCAAACCTCAAAGTGGATGCGCTCAGGGATGAGCTCAAGAAAAAGAAAGCACCTGAATTTGACAATGTTGCTGCTAACACGCTTGCCCTCTGGCAAGTCTCGATACCAATCTTCCAAGATGCTGATGATACTCCAATCGTTCTCGATAATGTCCCAAGCAAGAAGAGGCTTTTACCTACATCAACACTTTCTGAAGCGCTTGGAGAAGAAGAAGAAGCAAGAGAAACGATTTGCGTCATTTTCCATTCAACACGCAATGGTACTGATACAGTGGTCATCAAAAGTCATTCAATGAATTAGGAATTTCGACATTCTCATTCCTTTCTCCAATTTGATCTTGCTTGTCGCTAATGAAACTTACGTAGCGAGTTTGACCATCGACAACGTCACTCCTACTACAATGTCAATGAGCTCCTGTTGCTAATTGAAAATTTAGATGAATGCCAATTATTGGCATCTCATTGAATGACATTTGAAGAAAATCAGCAGCTTTGCTTTATTTGTTTTTTTTTTCTGTTCTTCAGTAATGTGTACGACCTCCTTTCATGCGATGTAGCTCCTCTACCCTTCGTGGCATACTTTCATATAGCTCATCAAGGAAGTCAGGTGGAATAGATGTCCAGATATCCTGTAGTCTTTCCCATAGTTCATCCAGATCCTTTGGTACCTTCTCATATCCCTTGAGCCGATGATCCATGTAGGCCCATACATTCTCGATAGGGTTGAGGTCAGGAGAATTTGGAGGCCACTCCAAAGTGGTAATGTGTGACTTAATTAAGAACTCTTTAACCATCCTACTCGTATGAACACTTGCATTGTCCTGCTGAAAAATTAACTTTTCAGGGTCCTGGCCATACCACTTCCATGAGCCGAGGACATAATCTTGTAGAACATCAACATACACTATCATGCAAAACTGATTCAATAATTCATTCCCATGTGCATTTCTTTTTTTCATTCCTCGAAACCGTATATGCATACAACACTCATACTTTGGTTTAATAAAGCTCCCGTCTTCTTCTACGTCATAGTGATGCGTTGTGACATTAGCTTGTCTCATTTGAATAGCTAATGACTTTTTTGTTCATTCAGGTCATTGAATCAGTTTCACATGTGCCCATTCGGTGGCCAAAGATCTTTATTCTTTTGTGAGCCATAACCTTACATCAATAAGTAGTATTCCAACCATGGGCATCACTGACAGCTTGGAGTCTCTTATGGATACCTATGATGAGTTTGCGGCAGAAGTCCACTGGGATCCTGTACCATTCAACCGATATTCGCTCCCATAGTTTATCACAGCTCTTAGCTCGCTCGGGATACCTAGAGAGCCGCCTATCCAATTCTGCCCACATGTGTTCAATAGGGTTGAGGTCAGGGGATTGTGCTGGCCACTCTAGAAGTGTACCTTCCTCTTCTGTCAGATGTACTGACTCCAAATACTTCCTAACAATCTTCGCCGTGTGCTTCGAGTCATTGTCGTGCTGAAAGACGATATCGCTTTTAGTTAGGCCCTAGTCATCAAGCGACATCTGTAGATCCTCCTGGAGTAGTTTGATGTAAAGTTGTGCGTCCATATTATTGTCAATCTTTGCAATGTATCCAGGTCAGTACCATGAGAAGCATGACCACACTTTAACATTACCACCCCCAAACTTGACAGTGCCTTGCACCGACCTGCGAGTGAGGCGTCCCGGATTGTCGTCCCAGATCCACTGCACGCCATCAGAGCAGATTCGGTTTATTTTCGATTCATCTGACCAAATAACCTTTTTCCAATCTTCCAGAGTCCATTCCTTATACTTTTTGATAAAATGCAAACGAGCTTTAATATGTCGTCGACGTAAAGCTGGCTTATGTACACGCCTCTTTGCTGTCAATCCTAACTCCTTGAGCCGTCGTCTAACGGTGGTCTCAGAAACAGCCGCTGGTATGAGCTGGTTGGCTCTGACGGTGGCCTCAACTGCAGACTTGAGTGTACCTCGTTTCATGTTCACCTTAAGATACTGCATGATACCTCTAGGTACTTTCCTTGGTCGACCGCCTTTATTGACTGGCATGTACTCCTTATTATGTGCATAGATCCTGGTGGCCGTCGCTATTGATATACCAACACTAGCAGCAGTTTCTCTAGTAGACATACCTCCCATCATTAACCTCCTGGCTTCGTTGACTTTCCTTTGTGGAGTGGGTCTCATATTCTGTGAAGGTATAGTTAAGAGAGAGTTAAGCAAGTGTTCATAAAGGAAAGAGAGAAAAGTCCTTTTACTTGCATTAAATGACGTCCAGCAGTTGTCATGGGCAACATTTTAGACCACATGTGAAACTGATTCAATGACCTGCATGAACAAAAAAGTCATTAGCTATTCAAATGAGACAAGCTAATGTCACAATGCATCACTACGACGTAGAAGAAGACGGGAGCTTTATTAAACCAAAGTATGAGTGTTGTATGCATATACGGTTTCGAGGAATGAAAAAAAGAAATGCACATGGGAATGAATTATTGAATCAGTTTTGCATGATAGTGTATAAAGAGGAATCAACTGTGGCAGGGATCCTGCAACCATCGCCTACACCATGATAAGTGATACAGCCCCACCACATAAGTTTGTTATGTGCTCCCCTTGATCTCTCTCTAACATCTCGATCTTCTAAAGTCCTGTGGCCGGGTCGCCTATATTGTGTTCTTCCTCCTAAGGACCCTAGCCTTTCAAAAAGCTTTTCGTCCGAGAACATCACTCGCTTCCAGTCATCAACAGTCCAGTCAAGGTGGTTGAGGGCAAAATTCTTCCTTTTCGCAATCTGCATTTTTGTCAGCCTAGGCTTGAATGGGCGGACATAGTTTTTCAAACCCTCTGATTTTACATAGCGTCGGGCAGTCTCTACACTGACATGCACTCCATGGCTCGATCTGATGTATTCTTGAACTGCCAGAATGGATCTAAGTTTCCCCGTATCAACCTCGCGTGCAATAACCCTCTTGGTAGCAGGGGAAACCAATGAGGGTCTGCCCATTCTGGGTTTAGGAATATTGTCCTTGACGTCCCTCCTGATCCTTATTGCCGATGAAATAGAGATACCAAGTTGCCTTGCCACTTCGCTTGTAGACTTCCCTTGTCGAAGTAAGGCCTGAGCATTTTGTACCTTTTCCATAGAAAGCGTCCTCATAATAAATACTAAACGATGTGGAATGTTAATTGTAAGTAGAGGTGTATGAAGATATAGCTGAAGGTAATCTTGGTAGAAAAAAGAGAAGTGAAAAAGTTTTTTTTGCAATCAACATTGAAATTCAGCAGAAGTCATTCAATAGGCAGGTCAAATTGAAATTGGTTTTATTTCACAATGAAGTCATAATTAGGAATGAGACATGAAAGTAATCATGAGGTGTGGGGAACAAATGCACTACCCCAAATATACTAGCCACATGCTAGATGAGAATGAAGAAAAGGAATGAGAATGTTAAAAATTCAAAATCATTGAATGACTTTTGATGACCAGTGTAATAGTAGAATACTTTCCTATATGTCCATATGTATGTTGATTCGAACTGCTTCTAACCTTTTAAACCTTTAATCAGTAGTTTCAGGCCCCATACAATTTACCATTTGCTTCCAAACTCAGCCGACAAAATCATTCGTATGGACAACAAACGTGTTCTCCGCGACTTTAGGTGTCGGCTTTAGATGTGATTTCGACTCCTTCACCTTGAATCCTACGGATGCTAGTCGCTGGAGAACCATCTCGGTATGTATCTCCGACAACTGTTGTGATGAGGCTACTATCAGGATGTCGTCCAGATACGCTGCTATCCTTATCCCTTTCCTTCTGGCCCATTTCAGCACTGGTTTCAGCATCTTGGTGAATACGTAAGGGGCTAACGACAGTCCGAAGGGGAGCACCCGAAACTGGTAAGTTTTCTCCTTCCATTGAAATTGAAGGAACCGGCGTGATTCGGGGTGTATTAAAATATGTAGGAAGGCATCCTCTAAGTCTATACTCGTCATGTAATCCTTTTTGTTTATCATATTGCAAACCGTCTTCATTGATTCCATTTTGAAATGAGGGGGTGAAATAAATTTGTTCAGTGGCTTTAGGTTCAATACGGGGCGTAGATCCCCCGTTTTCTTTGGAATAGTAAAGATGCGGCTCACGAACCCATGTTCTGAAGCTTCCTCTATGGCTTTCTTGGCTAACAATGCTACAATTTCTTGTTCTATCGTCTTCATTTCTTCTTTGGAGCGGACGCTGCTGTGTGTTGTTGTATTGCTGATTGGTGGTAGCGAATCGAACGGGATTTCGTATCCATTCTGAATAACTCTGCGTACCCATTTCTCGTCTGTTAATAGATTCCATGCTGTTTGGTAGAGGTGTAGTCGACCTCCTACTGGCGCCCCCTTCCTTGTCCCCTTCCCCGTGTGGAAGGGGAGCTCCGAAAAAATTGGCCGCCCAAGCCGTAATTATTATTTTGCTGTGGTTGCGTTGTTTGTTGGCTTTGAGTCTGAGGGGTCGCTTGTTGATACTGCTGTGTTTGAGTAGCTGAATTGTTTCCAAAGCGACCTTGCCTGCCTCGGTAGTCTCTACCTCGGTTAGGATTGCTGTATTTCTTGACATTTTGCGAAAGCTTGGCATGTTCAAGTAAATCGGCTGTTTCGACCAGTTGGCGTCTGGTCGATGTGTCTGGAGGAGTGATAAATTTCTTTTCCTTGTAGAATGCTTCGGTGCGGATTTTATTGATCTGCTCGCAGAGCATGGATATTTGAGTTTGGACTGTATCCAGGGTGCGGAGGATATGTAGTACTGGAACGTCCTTACCGTTTTGAGAGACAAGTGCATGCGCTGTTGCAGCGAGTGGCCTCGTAATGTGTGCCGCTTTTGTTGCCAGTGTGACCAATTTCTGATCAGCATTCTTGAGACTATCGGAAATAGCCCATTCTTTGGGGATTGCTGGAGGTGTGTATTCCATATCTTCCACTATTGGAAATTGGCTAATATCGTAGTAACGTTGTTCCTCGTCATTAAACTTAACTGTGTGGAATTCTTTTCGTCTCTTGAGGGAAGGCGTGACCTGTTCCAAATCCTCGTAGGGTGCCAGGTAGCACAGGGGCTCCGCGCGACGCATAAATGGGTCTTGGATTGGTGTGTCTGGCTGGTGGAACGCGCCTCCGTTCTGGGAGAACTGCGTGAGAGCACTGATAGCTTGCAGGATCTCCGGAGGGAGGGCATATCTGTTTTCTGGAAGGGAAGTGTTACTGGGTAAGGTGGATGGTGGAGCGGGGTTGACCTCCAGGATCGAAGGACCATGATTGCCGTCCGTAGAGTTAGAAGCAGTGTATGTGTTGTGGACATTGTTATCGTTGAAGTTCATATTTCTATGGAGATGGACGTGTTCCGGAAGCTCGAGAAAAAGAAAGATGTAGTACCAGATCAGCCAGCAGAGAGAATTTAAAAAAAAAAAAAAAAAAAAAAAAAAAAAAAGTTTATTTTTAGTTTAAGGGTAGTTCTGTAGCTCGAGATTTATTAAAGAGAAAGATTACACAGGAAAGGGTCGCTGGACTATGAAGGATAATTTTGTGAATTGTGAATTGTGAAATGAAATCTATTGGCTTTGAAGTGACCAATAATCTGCCAGAGCTGGGTTCATTTCACAATTCAATTTTTCATCAAAAAGTTGTAAAATTGATTTGTGAAATGACTCATTTGGTCCAATGACCTTTGAAAGTGATTTTGCCCCTTTTTTATTCTCTCCCCTTTTCCTTTGATAAAATGCCTACTATTCGCACTCGAAACCAACGCTTGACAGATGCAATTGAGCAAAGATTCTTGAGGGCTGTGGAGGAAGTAAGGCGGCACGTCGAAAATAGAGACGACGCTGACTTATTCCAACTGGAAACTTATGCCAACATCCTGTCTTTTATGTACAGGAACAGATACACTATCATGCAAAACTGATTCAATAATTCATTCCCATGTGCATTTCTTTTTTTCATTCCTAGAAACCGTATATGCATACACCACTCATACTTTGGTTTAATAAAGCTCCCGTCTTCTTCTACGTCATAGTGATGCGTTGTGACATTAGCTTGTCTCATTTGAATAGCTAATGACTTTTTTGTTCATGCAGGTCATTGAATCAGTTTCACATGTGGTCTAAAATGTTGCCCATGACAACTTTTGGACGTCATTTAATGCCAGTAAAAAAAGGACTTTTCTCTCTTTCCTTTATGAACACTTGCTTAACTCTCTCTTAACTATACCTTCACAGAATATGAGACCCACTCCACAAAGGAAAGTCAACGAAGCCAGGAGGTTAATGATGGGAGGCATGTCTACTAGAGAAACTGCTGCTAGTGTTGGTATAGCAATAGCGACGGCCACCAGGATCTATGCACATAATAAGGAGTACATGCCAGTCAATAAAGGCGGTCGACCAAGGAAAGTACCTAGAGGTATCATGCAGTATCTTAAGGTGAACATGAAACGAGGTACACTCAAGTCTGCAGTTGAGGCCACCGTCAGAGCCAACCAGCTCATACCAGCGGCTGTTTCTGAGACCACCGTTAGACGACGGCTCAAGGAGTTAGGATTGACAGCAAAGAGGCGTGTACATAAGCCAGCTTTACGTCGACGGCATATTAAAGCTCGTTTGCATTTTATCAAAAAGTATAAGGAATGGACTCTGGAAGATTGGAAAAAGGTTATTTGGTCAGATGAATCGAAAATAAACCGAATCTGCTCTGATGGCGTGCAGTGGATCTGGGACGACAACCCGGGACGCCTCACTCGCAGGTCGGTGCAAGGCACTGTCAAGTTTGGGGGTGGTAATGTTAAAGTGTGGTCATGCTTCTCATGGTACGGACCTGGATACATTGCAAAGATTGACAATAATATGGACGCACAACTTTACATCAAACTACTGCAGGAGGATCTACAGATGTCGCTTGATGACTGGGGCCTAACTAAAAGCGATATCGTCTTTCAGCACGACAATGACTCGAAGCACACGGCGAAGATTGTTAGGAAGTATTTGGAGTCAGTACATCTGACAGAAGAGGAAGGTACACTTCTAGAGTGGCCAGCACAATCCCCTGACCTCAACCCTATTGAACACATGTGGGCAGAATTGGATAGGCGGCTCTCTAGGTATCCGGAGCGAGCTAAGAGCTGTGATGAACTATGGGAGCGAATATCGGTTGAATGGTACAGGATCCCAGTGGACTTCTGCCGCAAACTCATCATAGGTATCCATAAGAGACTCCAAGCTGTCAGTGATGCCCATGGTTGGAATACTATCTATTGATGTAAGGTTATGCCTCACAAAAGAATAAAGATCTTTGGCCACCGAATGGGCACATGTGAAACTGATTCAATGACCTGCATGAACAAAAAAGTCATTAGCTATTCAAATGAGACAAGCTAATGTCACAACGCATCACTATGACGTAGAAGAAGACGGGAGCTTTATTAAACCAAAGTATGAGTGGTGTATGCATATACGGTTTCTAGGAATGAAAAAAAGAAATGCACATGGGAATGAATTATTGAATCAGTTTTGCATGATAGTGTATGTATCTGCGTCCTCGATGTCGAAAACCATATTCGACAGAATTACGAGACAGAGTCCTCGATGCATACAACCCAGAGGACTATTCTGGTATCATACGTTTGACGCCGGAACAATTCCAAGAGCTGGCCGAGATCCTTGGCAGGGATCCTCTGTTTCGGCTCCGAAAAACCGGCGATCCTTTAGTCAATATCAAGATCCAGCTAAAGGTTACCCTATTTCGCCTTGGAACAAAAGGGATATCGATCAAGAAGGTTGCTTGGATTTTTGGTTGCAATGTCGGCGCTGTTCACTCTTACACCTGGAGGTGTATCAAAGCCATTAATAATCTCGTAGAACAGTTCGTGGTGTGGCCTGATAGAGAGGAAAAACTTGAGATTTTGAAATGGTTTAAAGAAAACAAAGGCTTCCCACATATGCTTGGGGCTGTCGATGGAGTTTGTTTCCCACTGTCCTCGGCCCCAAATTTTGATACAGGAGCGTGGATTACCCGAAAGTGCAACTATGCGGTAGGCGCTACAGCTGTAAGTGATCATTTAGGTCGCTTCATATTTTTCGCTACTGGCTACATCGGGTCTATGCATGACTCGACAGCATACAGGAGCACGGAGCTGCACCGGAATCCAGGCGAGTTCTTCCAAGGAAAAGAATATATACTTGCTGATGCCGCTTATGCTGCGTCTGCAACAGTGATCCCGCGCTATAGGAATGCACAAGGTGATCAGAAAAGATTCAACTCGCTCCATGGAAGAGCAAGGGTCAAGATCGAGCACGCGTTTGGTATGTTAAAACTCAAGTTCCAATCCCTTCAAAGTTTGCCTGTAAGGATCGACAAGCGAAGGCATATTAATAAGGCATCAATGTGGATCATGGCGTGTGTCGTTTTACAATATTTCTTGCGGAAAGATGCCCAAGAAGACATTACGGAAGAACAGATCCTCAACGAGCCATTAGTTCCTGGAGATGTGCCTGAAGATGTAGAAGAACTAGATCCCCAACAACAAGAAGGTAATAGAAGAAGGAATAAGCTTATGCGATGGGTTTTATACAGACGATAGCCTCAAAGGTTTATTAAAATGCATATATTGTCGCGTTTAAAAACCGTGCGATTGTCCATGCTTGTTGTTGTTGTTGTTCCTACAACACAACTCCACCTCTTTCTTTAGAGACGCTAGCTCTTGAAGAAGCTGATCCCTTTCTTTTCTAAACTCCATCATCTCTTTTTTTTCCTCGTCCAGCATTTTCATTCGACGCTCCATTATCCTCTCTGCTTCCTCTTTTTGTATCTGTTTTTTCTTTTTCAAAGTCTTTTTTTGTATCTCTTTTTCTTTTTCAAAGTCTTTTTTGTATATCTCCTTTTCTTTTTCGAATTCATCTCTTCTTCCTTTCAATAGTGTTTCAAAATCCTGCGCCCGTTGTTTCAGCATAGCTTCAAAATTTCGTTCCCTATCTAGCATAGCTCTCTCTCGCTCTTTCATGCTGTCATTTCATGCATTGTATCTCGTAGATGCGGCGAGGCCGACTTGCGTTTGTAAAGTAGACACAGTACTTTGAACAAAAGCATCTTTTTCACTAAGTTTTGCTTTCCTTCGACGCTTCGGTACTCGGTCTCTTTTATCTTCGTCGTTAACTTGAAGCAAGTCTTTTATAGATAGAATTGATGAATTTGAATTAGATATCGGGTATGACTAAAATTAGCAATGTCAAACAGGCATTAAGTTTCTTACCATTAATAACAAATCCACCTTCATTGCCGTCATCTTCCTGGCCGTCATCTTCAGAGTCGAGAGTTGTCTCAGGAGATGACTCTCTTTCTGAGGAATCATCAATGACACGTCTACATGACTGCATGAGAGGAGGGGGGTTCCTCGCTAATGAGCTTCCCCAAACAGCGTGGAATCGGTCGTATTCAGGACATATTTCCATCATTTGCCTTCGAAGGTCTGCTAAATTCTCCGTATCTCCACCACCAGTTTGGTCTGCAAGGGCCTTGGCTTGGTCATATTTCTTCTTTGCATATTCAATCTTGTTCCTTACAATCTTTTGAGTCCAATCAGTTCCGGAAACCCCGTTTACGTATTCAGCAATAGCGGTATGCACGTCGGCCTTCTTTTGACCAGATACTGTCCGTACTCTTTGCAATTTTTCATAGTTGTGGGGGTCAGTTATCCAATCCACAAAGGCATCCATCCCATCTGCGGTCCAAAAGCTCCCAGGGCCTCTAGTCGCTGCCTTAGCTTTCGAAGCAGAGGCAGAGGAAGCATGAGTTGTGGAAGATCTTGCACGAGATCCAGGTTGTACTTGAGAAGTAATTGGCGGAGGTGTAATTGCAATTGAGCGATTCGTATTCAAAGCTGAGATTGGTCTAAGTTGAGAATAAGAAGTCTGTTGCAGTTCTTCCCTTGGACGTTTTGAACTTTGCTCAGATTGAGTTGGCTGAGGGTGGTGTCGCAAATTGGGCATCACAGATTGGATAAATATTGTAAAGTTCCTGAGAACCCTTTCCTTGAAGGTTTTGTTGCTGCTGCTGGTATTGATAGTTCTGGGCGGCTACGTAAGGGAACTGTCGCTGATGAGTGGCATCAACAATTATTGGACGTTCAGAAACAGAGGTAATTGTTGCATTTGAAGGCGTGGGAGAGATCAAAGGGTTGATACCGTTGTAAAAGGTATGCGACATTTCTTTTTTATGTGTGTGTTGCGTGAAAGGGAAAAAAAGAAAGAAAGAAAGAAAAAGAAAAAAAAAGAGAAAATCACTTTCAAAGGTCATTGGATCAAATGAGTCATTTCACAAATCAATTTTATAACTTTTTGATGAAAAATTGAATTGTGAAATGGACCCAGTTCTGGCAGATTATTGGTCATTTCAAAGCCAATAGATTTCATTTCACAATTCACAATTCACAAAAAAAAAATTTGAATGCGACTCTGTTCTGAAACAGCGCGAACCTGTTCTGAAACAGCACGAACCTGTTCTGAAACAGCGTGAACCTTTTCTATAACAGCGCGAACCTGTTCTGAAAACAGCACAAACCTATTGCACAAACAGCGCTAACCTGAAGAAAAGCACAGAGACTCACAATCATCTGCATGCATAACAGGCTTCTTCTCTTTTCGCACTACCATTACCATTGCCATTGCCATTGCCATTGCCATTCTCATTCAATTCTCAGAGAACCTTTTGCATCATCCCTAAAGACACGCTTAATAAATACCACGAACAGTTGACAGATTAACTTTATTTGTCTGATCTTGTCTCGCAAAGCGGCCATGTACTTTAATAATTCAGTAAATGCTCGGCATCTCTGCCTCTGCTTTCTCTTTATTACTAATGTTGACTATATATAGTCAAAGCCAACTTCTACTTCCATAGCTAGGCTTCTATATCTCTATACCTTAAAGATCTTAAAGACCAATAATCATCGTCTGTGACGCCAAGTAACACTGATACGATTGTACTAGATTCTTCTCTTGCAACAACCTTCGCAAAGAGACAAAGGGAACAATCTTTAAATATGTTGAGCCCATTTACTCAATCCACAAAAAACAGTTTGTTCCCTCATGGAGGAGAGAACCCTCAATATGCGATAAAACTTTTTTTGTCCGTATTCTTGTTTTGTCTAATAAAGTTTTTTCTGTTCTCATTCATTCTCTTCATGCTCCCACTTTCCATTCCTCTTCCTGAATCAGTCTGCCTGACCTTGAAACGCAATTCCTTTTTTTATTCAACGATGAATGATAAGAGTGAAAATTTCTTGTTCGACAAAGAGCATGGCGAAGAGTATGGCGAAGAGTATGACGAAGAGTATGGCGAAGAAAATAACGACGACTTTGATGAATATCACTCATTCAACCAGGAAGTCAATGAAAATCTAGACGAAGACCCTACTTTCAACGAGAATAGGTGCGAATTCGAGAGTGACGATGACTACAGCGGGTTTTCTGGAAGGCGATCGCCTGTAAGTCTATACCTTTGACTCTTAGTTGCTAGTTAATACTTGATATCCGTTGCTTCGAACCTTGTTACTGACTTCTTCCGTACGCGTCAATGCTTCTGTAGTCAGAGAGCCTCATCGACCGACGCGCCCAGCGGCAAGCGCAGGCGAAGCGTGATATATGGCGTCGTGGTCAGGACAGACACGAACAAGAGCAAGTTGATGTTTACCAACGATATAGACCATTCTGGCGGAGAATACAATGTCTTGGGTGTGAAGACGCGCGAAGGGCGTTCAAGGTCTATGTTCGAGGAAGTGCAAACACGCCAGTTGCCCCAAGTGACTTCAAGAAGCGAAGCCAGCGTCGCCGCCAGTAGCTTCAGGTCTGCCCAAGCCAAACGAGGATATCCTAAGACTCCTTCTCTTCCAACAAATCAGGGACTGCCTATTCAACCTGCCAGACCTAGGTCATTCCTACGTTCAATCTCAGCATCTGCAAGCGAAATCACTATAATAATTTTGTGCAACATATGGTGCGTGCCAAAACTGATGCAATAATTTGCATTTTTTAACATTCATTCCTCATTCTCCTTTTCCTTTCTAATGATCTTCCCTACCATCACCGCTTCTCATTCTCATTTGTCTCACCTTCGTAGACTGTCATCGCTGTTCTCATCAATGACGCAATTAGCGAATAATCGCCATTTGTATAGTCATGTCTCATTGCATCAGTTTTGGTAAAAAGTACATGTCAGGTTTGTCCATCCCTTACTTCTTTCTTATTCTTTATTCTTTCTTTATAGCACCATCACCACTGATACACCAAGCGACACTCTACATATCTGCCATATCTTTATCATAACATGAAATCATTATCCAAATCAACTATCCAAAATGCAACTGCTCTACTTCATCAGGGAAAGTCTTCCAGAGAAGTGTCAAAGAGTTTAGGGATATCTGTTACCTCAGCTCAAAGGATTAGGAAAAGAGGCAAAGAAAGTATTCCAGTGCTGAGAGGGGGCCGACCCTGCAAAGTTACTAAGAAAACGAAACAGCTTTTATCAAGATTTTTTGACATGGGTGTATTGGAGACCCAAAAAGATGGCCAACAACTTGTTCAATTGAGGGAAGGAGTGCAGGTTAGTAAATCGAGCATCAGGAGGTTCCTTATGCAGGATGATATGGGGGCATATGTAAAACAGAAGCAGCCTGATCTGACGAAGAAGCAAATCTATGCTCGATATAATTTTGCAAAGGATCACTTGGACTGGACTCTAGAAGACTGGAAGAACGTCATGTTCTCAGATGAGACCATCTTTAGCAGAGTTGGGTCCTGCGGAAGAAAGTACTACTACAAGCATCGATGGGATAAAACTCTACGAGCACATCATATCAAAAAGACAAGGCAAGGCGGTGGAGGCAAAATGATGTTCTGGGGTTGTATAACTTACTACGGACCAGGCGATGGCTGCTGGCTCCAAGAGAAGGTGGATTCGGTAACATACGTCGACGTTCTCAAGGATTATATCTTTAAGTCCAGGGATTACTACTTGATGGATAAGGACAAATTTATATTTCAGCAGGACAATGCTAGGATTCATACCGGAAGAATAGCAATGACCTATATCCAAAAGTCTAAGATACCTCTCATGGAATGGCCAGCAAACTCTCCTGACATCAACCCAATAGAAAACATATGGGCATACATGAAGGTGCAGTTGGATCATTATCCAGACAAGGCAAAGAATATGGAGGATCTCTGGGAGAGAGTCCAAGACGTATGGACACATATCCCTCCTGAATTCTTACACAAACTATACTGCGGTATGCCGAAGAGGATGAGGGAGTTATATAAGGCTAAAGGAGGGAACATCGTTAGGGGAAAGGAGAAGTAACAGGAATACATAAAAACAAGAAGTTGTTAATTGCCATAATAGATGCAATGAGATGCTGAAAGCAAATTGCAATTAAATGCTAATTAGGCCACTGATGGCGATGACGATGAGACTCCATGGAGGTGAGACAAATGAGAATGAGAAACGGTGGTGGCAGGGAAGATCATAAAGAGGAAGAAGGAGGATGAGGAATGAATGTTGAAAAATGCAATTTATTGCATCAGTTTTGGCACGCACTATAAAAGCGATATCGTCTTTCAGCACGACAATGACTCGAAGCACACGGCGAAGATTGTTAGGAAGTATTTGGAGTCAGTACATCTGACAGAAGAGGAAGGTACACTTCTAGAGTGGCCAGCACAATCCCCTGACCTCAACCCTATTGAACACATGTGGGCAGAATTGGATAGGCGGCTCTCTAGGTATGCGGAGCGAGCTAAGAGCTGTGATGAACTATATTGGTTGAATGGTACAGGATCCCAGTGGACTTCTGCCGCAAACTCATCGTAGGTATTCATAAGAGACTCCAAGCTGTCAGTGATGCCCAGTGCTCCTATTCGAATCGAACGGTTCGAATTCGAATAGCTTCGAATAAGCCATATCCTGGTTCGATTCGAATGGTTCGAAAGGTTCGAATGGTTCGAAAGGTTCGAATGACGCGAATTATTCGAATAGTTCGAGTGTCGAATGGTTCGAATGGTTCGAATGGTTCGAGTGTCGAATGGTTCGAATGGTTCGAATGGTTCGAACGGTTCGAATGTCGAATGGTTCGAATAGCATTCGAATCCTGATATCTATTCGAATTCGAATCGAATTTGAACCTACCTTATTCGAATCGAATTCGATATCAGGCAAATTCGATTCGAATGGTTCGAATAGGAGCACTGGCTAGGATCCATACTGCAAAAACTGCAATGGACTATATCAAAAAATCTAAGATAGCTCTCATGGAATGGCCAGCAAACTCTCCTGACATCAACCCAATAGAAAAAGTATGGGCATATATGAAGATGAAGTTGGATCAATATCCAGACAAGCCAAAGAATATGGAGGACCTTTGGGATCGGGTTCAAGACGCATGGGCACAAATCCCTCCTGAACTCTTGGAAAAGCTATATTGTGACATGCCAAAGAGGATGAGGGAGCTATATAAGGCAAAAGGAGGAAACATCATTAAGACAGAAGAGAAGTAACCGAAATAAAGAGAACAGGAAGTTAAAAATTAACTTAACAGATGCAATAAGGTATTGAAGCAAATTGCGATTAAATGCTAATTGCGACATTGATGAGGATGGTGATGACAGTCCATGGAGGTGGGACAAATACGAATGAGAAACAGCGATGACATGGAAGATCATTAGAAAGAAAAACGAGAATGAGGAATGAATGTCCAAAAATGCAATTTATTGCATACCTCGTTTCATGTTCACCTTAAGATACTGCATGATATCTCTAGGTACATACTTTCCTTGGTCGACCGCCTTTATTGACTGGCATGTCCTCCTTATTATGTGCATAGATCCTGGTGACCGTCGCTATTGCTATACCAACACTAGCAGCAGTTTCTCTAGTAGACATGCCTCCCATCATTAACCTCCTGGCTTCGTTGACTTTCCTTTGTGGAGTGGGTCTCATATTCTGTGAAGGTATAGTTAAGAGAGAGTTAAGCAAGTGTTCATAAAGGAAAGAGAGAAAAGTCCTTTTTTTACTTGCATTAAATGACGTCCAAAAGTTGCC